CAGTGGGTATGGTCGTATGTGCTTTTTCGGGTCTGACTTCACCTTTAAAAAGGCAAAAATGCTTGTGCCAGGCAAGATTTGTGGTCGGTGTCGCGTACTGTTGGCCGGAAGAAGCGAGCATGCCTGCACCTAGGAGACACTCGCCCATCACTATCCACACATTGAAGCAGTAACTTCGAAATAACCTAACAAATAACGTGCTTCTTCGAGTTCGAAGGACTAATGACATTGAGAACAAGGTAACAAACTAATGACACAAAACGCAATCCAAGCAAAGGAAGAAACAGAGAAGAAGAAGAAGAAGAGGAGGAGAGGGACGTAACAATGAATCAACTTGAACAAAGGAAGATTTCCGGCAAATACGCAAATCCGATAATGGAAAAAAAAGGAAGTAAGAGTCGTGGTCTCATCAAGTCTTCCATACTCCCGAGCGCAACCGCCAATCCAACTCATCTAAATCTGCCCTTCACCATACGCTTTCCAGCCCCTCGCCTAACTTGGTGCCCATCATATCCACGTGCGCAATAAACCAACATGGTATCCGCCAAGTCGGGTTTAAAGAAAGCACCGCTCCAACGTATTCACAATAATCGTGGCACCTCTGAAGTTCTTCCAAGAAGCGGCCACTTTTCGCTTGTGATGTTCCTGGATGCATCGCTGTGACCAGTGGATGCTACTTGATGGTCAAGTTCGTCTCAACCCCACCACCAGGATCCAGAACACTCGGTTTCTCTCTCCAAAGTGCGGACATGGGTCGCGGAGGCTCATCCTCACGAACCGTTCGAAGTTCAATGAACATCCCGATCCGTCGGTACGTATTTTCACCTTCCATCTTGTCCAAGAGCATGGAATATTTTCCCGAAGACCTGACCAATGCTTCAGGGTCCTGTTGTTTGCTGTCCGGAATCTTCCAGTCCTCCCCTTTTCCCTCTTTTTCAAATGTATCGAAACCTTCATTTGCTTTGTCCTGGTCGTCGCTCTCGTTCGCAACCCGGTTTTTCTCTGCCTTATCATTCCCTTCAATCTCTTCCAGGTCCTCCGCCACCGTCTTACCCTTTCCTTGCAGCAACTCTGAGTATCCTAGGCAAGCCAATGGGAGGCACTTGGTCCCGCTTTTCCCATAGTGGCCGTTATACTCCTCCGTCTGGTTTGGACAGAGAAGATCGTAAGGCGAGTCCATTGCGACTATGTTAGAGTTTCCCAAGGTCCAAAGGCCATACATGTCCGAGTTGGACAAGATGAACGGCAAGCGAATCCTAACGCCTGTAGATTGGATGACCAAAGTGATTCTTCCTTCAGCCTTGTTTCCCTCTTTCAGTTCCTGCACCTCAGTAAAGGTACGAAAGATTGAGACGTCATGAAGGCTTCCAGATACGACTAGCAAGCCTGCGGATATCTTTCCAGTGGGGTCGAGGGTAGCTGGAGTAGTCTCACAGCTGTGTATCTTCAGGTAGGTTATCATGGTTTTGGGGGGGCTGGCAGGAAATCTGACAGCAACATTTTGTGCTGCCCATGACCAGCTCGGAGCTCTCCAACCTGTTGGCTTTTGGTCCACCTTGACCAAGCCAGAATTCCGCGGCTCGGAGTCCCGAACATGCCAAGAACTCCAGAGTAAGTCCATCATCAAGGAGTTACTCCAGAGTCCGGCCAGATAACGAGCTGATGGTCGCAGTCGCCCGTTTTGTTTGGCTAGCCCGGATAGGGCAGGCAATTTGTCGTCTTCGTGGCTTAAGTCCAGGGCTGAGTATTCTTGGACCATCTTATGCCAGCCAGAGACCGTGAGCCCAGAGGATCTCTGCTTGAGGATACGATGAAACTCATGCTTCACAGTGCCCCCAGGATAGGTGCCACCACGATGCGCAGGCTCGCATTCACAATATGTCATCGTCCCGCACTCCCACAGTAATTCTTCGCCGCAGAAGTGTACAACCATTGGTGCCAAGATACGCTCTTGGAAAGTCCATGCACGGCTCAGCAGCGGTGGGTTGTCGTTGGCAGGATAATGGGCATGAGGATGACCCATTGTCAGATGGCCGTTCTTGGAAGTGTGCGGCCGTCTATGTCCCACAATGTCGAAGAGGATGCCTGAAGATAGCTCACCGCTGAGTCGTACATAGTTGGCACTTTTCCTAATGGAAAGACCTTGGCTGCCTTCGCATGCTGAAGTGGCCGCAATGGTCAAATACGAATTCTCGTATATGTTGCACATGTTCCCAGATTCCTCGACCCAGTCGTTGACATCATCTTGAATGATGCACAGGGAATCAATCCACAGATATTGTATTCCAAGGTACTGCGTCAGTTTGATCGCGTCTTGAAATGTTTTCGGCATGGTCTGCCACTCTATGGTTCGCCGGAAAGCCTCAATGTTATCCCTCGTTGTTTTGAGTGGTTGATTGGCTCCCCAACGATGGCTGAGGCATGTGTATTGGCCGGAAGCAGGCAAGTCATTCATAACGAGGCGGATATCCTGGAGACCATTGCCAACAAAAAGAAGACGTCGGGGTAAGACCGTTTCGCCATAGCGAGAACAGTCATGGTGATATTCCAAGCAGCTTTTGAGCCAGGTCTTAGCTACTTTGAATGAATGGAAGGCAAAATTTTGAAGATTGGAGTTCAAGTATCGTTGACTCCTGAATATGGGTATGGTCTTACGTTCTCCTTTGTACGCCAAGTCAGTCTGAGGTTCTGTGGTTATCGATGTCCCAGGGACTAAGAGATTAGGCAGTGACTTACTTGGAAGAAGTGAAGAAACATTAAACATTATGTGGTCATCCAGGCCTGGACCAGACCTAATATGAAGTCTTTCCACATAGCAAGGGTCCTTGTCACCATCAACTTGGTAGCAACAATACCGGTCGCACTCAACCCTGCACACCCCTACTGTTTCGCCTGAAAGAGGTCTTCCTAGTATCCTTTCGGCTAGTGTTAGAACCATCAAACACTGCCAGCAGGTACCGGAGCTCTGCTTATCGAGCGACCAGTTGAGTTCTCCCAGCTTTCCGAATTCAGATCTCGTGCATTGATTGCATCTCGTTTCTGGCAAAGGTTCCTTTGCTATAAGGAAGCGGCTGGAGGACGGTAACTCCTTCCAGAGAGTTCTCCACGGCGCTTCTCCATTGTTCTCGTACGCAGCTATGGGTGCAGGTTTCGGTGAAGGGGGCTTCGGATCATCTGGGTCAGATGAGTTAGGCCCGCCTTCGGGTTCGTTGGCCTCGGGCGGCCGAGTGTTCGACGCTGCTGGCTCCTAGGTTTGGACACAAGAGTCAACAACTTGTAACAACCCACTACCTGCTTCAAATTCGAACAGGCACTACTTACCATTTCTGCCCTGGCTTCCTGGAAACCCAATTTCAGGGGCCGTGCTTCGCAGAACTGTGAAGTGTTGATGGTGAGAAAAAACGACTATGGTTCAGTGGGGCCGGAGCATAGGTATAAGACTGTTTCCGGTAACAGCAAAGCAGTTGTCGCACCAGAAGATGCTCAGCCGATTGAGGCAGGTGAGGTAAGCCTCGTGGAAGTTGTGCGCCTGGTTAATCTTGCCATAGTTTCAACACTCTGCGAATCGGAGTAAATCATGTTGTGCGCCTCCGAGCCACGAGTCGGGTGATTTGAGCCTCGGCAGCCTGTTGCTTCATATCACGATGCTCCGGTGAGGCTTACACCACTTGTTGGATGGGAGCGGTCGAAAGCTGGGGGTTAGCGCATAATTGTAATGGTTCATGGGGACGAGTGGTATTAGCACCCGACGGCCATCAGAAGAAGCTGACGATGAACGTCGAGGTACTGTCAACTCTAGCGATACGATTTGACACGGCGCTAATGGTTTTCTTGCAAAAGCGAAGTGGAAAGATAGTGGAAGAGCAGAAGAAACTGGCGGCCGGAACCGCGCGTTCCATTTTGCCTTTTCCAATGTCGGACGTTATTACCTCTGTCGCACATGAAAGGCAAGAACAATGCCCGCGTGAGCCGCCAGATTGCAGTGCCCCGCCTTGCTGGACCAGAGGACCAGCTTTCATGCTTGGTTTCGGCTCAAATTACCTATGCAGGGCACTGTCAGACATTCCATTGCACAGCAGGCACAGGTACTACCTACCTCATACCTACATTGACGCCTCCTCACGTGCTGCGGTTTCCATGTCTTCAGCCGTTTTCTTGAGGTTACTCCATCATTCTACTTCTGTTTACTCTCGTCCACTCCTTCCTCCCTTCCATTATACAAGTCCCTCTTCTCGCCGCCTTGTGTCCTCCGATTGTCAGCTTGACTAAAAACGCGAAAATTACTTTTACCCAATCGGGCAATTTCACAGAAGCCCTGGAAACTGCCCTATTCTTCGTTACGCTACCAGGATCCCTCTGGCGAAAGCTAAACGATCGGAAGCGTTTGAACCCGAGATTTTTGGGATATATTTGGAGGATATGGGTACCTAGTCATTGGTCAAGTGGGCATCCGGTGCGATTTCCTCCACGTGAAGTGCGCAGTTAGTGCCGGTTTACTCGCTTGTAGTCTCTGGGCTTGCTCCTGGATTTTCTGACTGCGGTTGTCCTCGTCAGAGGTGAAGGAACGCACCCTCCTTGGGACTTCCTTGCCTTGATCACTGTCATGGCAATATTTTCTCGGTTGCGAGGCATTCTCGAGGAAGGTGCCCCTGCTCACTGGAAGTTCACAGCCATCTTCCCAGAAATGGAATGGATCGAATCGCGGTTTCAAGTTATTTGGGCGAGCGCGAGCCAAGAACTGCGCGATCTCGAGACGGATCATTATTCGTGTTCGTTCGTTTTGCAACTTTGACTTTGCAATCGACATCTTTTCTGCTATGCTCCAATACAACGCAAATATCATTCCCATCGCATTTACCTTTTTAAACAAAGACGCGTCCCGCAACATCAAGAACGTCTACTTCATCACGGCGCATCTTTTTACCGTCTATCATCTGATCTGACACCCCTATTCCCTGGTCTACCGAGGAATATTTTATTTTTGAGAGATTGGCCAGCGCGTACACTAGTGTGGCTCGGTTATCTGCGATCGGGGACAAGCACTTACGCGAGCCTTTTCAAAAGCTCAGGGAGAGGCTCAGACTACTTTCGCGTCATGCCACGCAATTGTGTAACAACGGATACTGGTACACTCAACTCCAGAATCAGGCCGATGCTTACAGCCTTGAAGTCCAGTCTCAGCCGTGGTAAGTATTTCTCCACCATCATCTCGGGCTTCCAACTTTTAGGCCAATGTCTCCAGATTAGGCATCCACGTGTAAATGCTAAGGTTAGAATGCAGAAAAGCAAAATCCTCGGTACCCGCTCCACACCGGATGGCAAAACCAGAACGGCGACGAGAGGTATCGCATGAAATCGAGGAACTACAAGATATTCGAACTGGCGGTGGATCGGTTCATTTGGGATGTTGCACAAATGTTCCCCGACAGCCAGAAAGGAAACTTCATCAGGGAATGCCAAGGCGTCAAATACTGGAGTTTAAACGATAACTGGCACGAGCTTCTTTCTACTCGACCAAAGGTAGGAGAGCCGGATCTGCTGGGTCCACGGAGTTACGGCGATGTCCAGCAATCCTATGGTTCTGTTGTCACCATTAACTTGGCTCCTATTCTTCATATTCCACCCTTTGGACCTGTACCTTCCAGACTACCTGTGATGAAGTCGTCTGCTGAGCCCAAAGGGCCCCCTTAGCGAGTCAATTTTGAATGCCCATGGGTACCCGAGCCACCTCATGGAAACGAGCACAGACGACTCTGGTAACGGGAAAACAACAAGAATGTCGGTTTTGGGGTATGAAACTGTTAGTTGTTCTTAGGGTGAGTAAATCTATGACATACGTTGACTTGTCTTGTTACTGACTGGGACGCATACAGTTACTGCGAATGACCTGTATTCGGAGTTGAGGCTCAGCTTTGGCGGCGTATGCTCCGCCTTGGGTCTTGTTGATGGAGGAGAGAGGAGGGATCCCGAACGATATTTACTCTCTTAGAGAATCCTTAGTCAGGGTTATTGTACTTGTACTTACATTGCCACCATCTCGACTACAACCTCATCTTGGACTTGGCAACACTTTTCGCGCTATTCCTAGACTCAAAGTCCTGTGCCCCTATCTATCCTGGACATTTGACTTTCCAATCGCAGTTCCTGGCAAGATCGGCGCAAGAAATCAGCTCTAGAGTGGGAGACACATGGCTTTGCGAATTTCCAAGGTGTCAAGCGAAGGCGATGTGGCACATGATGACGACAGGCAAGACTGAATATGGAGTTGGCGTGAGTGGTAAAGCGCATCTTGAAGGCCGAACTCCCAACAAGCAGATTAAGAACAGGAAACCAAAGGCATAACTCATGAAGAACGGGTATGACGCATTACCAGACAAAACCCCAGTTTACCATCACGGACAGCGGCATTCATAATAAGATTTCCACCCAGCAGCCCACGCCCATCAAACTCCCCAATCGCTTATTCGCTTCTCTTGGGCTTATTCGGCAGAGCATACCAGCAAATCATCATAACCACAAACAACGCAATAACAATCGGGTGCAAGACAAACGTGCCCACAGCCTGCGCCAACAAACCCGTTGTAAACGGAGCCGCCGCTCCTCCCGAGCTTCCAAACGCCGAGATGACGCCCATCCCACTGACCTGCTTCTGCTTGCTGATATTCCGCATGAATACCGCCGCAGCGCACGGGTAAACGGGTCCCAGCAGCAGACCAACGATCGCGACAGCCACTGCGTTTCCGATCAAATTTGGCACGAGCCAAACCACCAGCTGGAAAGCGCACGCTCCCACGACGACAATGACGACGAACAACTTCTCCCCTATTCTGTGCGCTGGCGGCGCCAGCAGGAAACGACCGAGCGTGATACCGCCCCAGAAACCAGCGGTAACGTAACCGACCGAGCCGTCGCTTACATGGCGCGAGTCCATCAAGAAGGTGTTCACCCAGCCGGAGATACTAACTTCGGCGCCTTGGTAGGCGAAGATGAACAGGGCACCGAGAAGGACGACACGGTTCGACAGAGCAGAAACCATAGCCGCGACATCGGCACGCCAGTCGCGACGGGGGGCAGCAGCAGCAGTAGCAGCAGTGGTGCCCGCTGACTGACCACCAGTAGAACCCAAGTGCTGCTGGGTATCCCTCTCGTAATCCCTAAACGCACAAGTTCCACACACGCCTCCCAAAGCCGCCAACCCCAAGCTCAGCGCATAGTATCGACTCCAAATTACGCCGAAAACCGTCACCATAGACGTTGCTAGCAGCGGACCGACGGTACCTCCGATACCATACGAGCCGTGCATCATCGACAGGGCAGTGGTCGAGTTGCTAAGCGATCCGCAAAACACGTTGCCCATGGCCAGGTTGATGGACATGCCGAACCCGACAAAGAAGAAAGACACGACGATGGCAGGATACGGAGCGGTAGCAATCATGGGGATGTAGCCCAGCGAGATGAGGCCCTGGCCGACGGCCAGCGTCTTGGCGCGCCCGACGCGCTCACGGATGGCATCGACGAAGAAGGCGCCGGCGATGAAGCCGAGAGCGTTACCGACGAAGATGAGGGAGACGACAGCGTAGCCGATGCCGTAGTATCTGGGTTGCTGCTTGTTAGCACTCCTGGGAGTGACGTTGCAGAGAGGAGGCGGAAGGGGACGTACTCTTCGATGGCGGGGATCAAGGCACCCGGAGCGGAATCGCTCATGCCGTTGCTCAGGTTGATCAGACACATAGCCAAGAGTCGCCAGCGGTTCATGTATGGGTTCATGATGCTTTGCATCGCCTCGGCGCTGTCGCTTCTTGCGCTACCATCGTTCAAAGAGTCGGCGTTGGGAGTTCCGGGACGGCTTTGTTCCTCAAGTTCGGGCCCGGAACTGAAGTTGGCATTTGTCGTTGTGTCGGGCTGGGGACCAGACGTAGAAGCAATGTTGATTCGAGATGCCGAAGTCGACTTGTTGGATTTCGGAGTCCGGGTCAGAGGTTGGAGTTCGATGGCCGAAGCTTCTTGCGGAGCGCCGGGGTACTTCCGGTGTACGGCCTTCCCAGGAGCGGAGGGAAGTTCGAGAGGTTGTGATGGTCCGCTTTCGACGGCGATAAAGCCGTGGAGCATCATTGCGTCCATGATTGCAGTTAACAACCGCAGCGCTGGGCAATGCCAGCACCGGAAACCGAAAGTGGAAAAGAAAAGACGATAAAAAGTCAGAAACGATTTTTGAGGGACCCTGTCGGAGACGGAAGGATCGGCAGAGGTTCATATAAGCCGGCCCAAAGTGGGGTTTGCGTCGTCACGATAACCGGAAGAAGCCGAATGGCCCCCGTCTGGCTAAGCTTCGGGCCATCACGTAAAAGAAAAAGTCTCCCGGGCTCGTATTTGTCGGCGCTAACAAGCAGATGCAGTGACCAGCGGGTGAACATCGGGACACAGATAAGGGACCCTGGCTTGTTCGGTTACTCAGCATGTATGAGGTACGTACTTCCGCGTATAAGTGTTCATCCGCCGGGACGACTTCGCTTGCCATCACTCACTTTTCATTGGGGCCAATGTTCATATATGGTTTTCTATTCTCTGAATGTCTCGTTCATATGTCTCCCTGTCCGTCGTGTTTCATTCATCGTGATTTCATAGTCTTCTTTTTATCCGCGTTTATCTTCCCCATCTTCTCCCATCTCTCACTCACCTATGTCCGACTTCCACTGGGAGAGGCCTCGCCTTCCAGTTTATTACAGTCGTCTTCACCGAATAGTAAACCTTCAATCTACACCGGACTCCATCGAGTAAGTTTTGAAAAGATCAATCTATCCGTCTCTCAAATTAGGCAAAACCTCCATACAGTGTTCACAAGCCCAAAGAAACCGCAAGCTGCGCACAATGCCAGATACCTGCCAACCGTTTGGGTTCCTTTCACCGCCGTCACCCATCAGGCCGGCACCCTCCCATAGCATACATTGGATGACACGACATTAACACCGGCTCGTCCCGCGTACCTTCCAAGCCTAACTTTGGCCTGGCCCAGGCACCAGCGGCAGTAGCAGGCGCCATATATGGGTCGCTACCTGACCCATCTACCACAACGGGGAGCTCTGCAGCCACTCCGTCACTGAAACTGGTGTCGTGGCGCAGTGGTTACCGTTGATGAAAACCTGCGTGGTGGGATTTCGTAATCTCGCAGCTGGCGGATTGTCGTTCGTTCTACAAGCGTACCTGGGTGACTTAGCATTTTGCAATTTTTACTCGATCGGGTAGGCAATGTAGATGACGGAAATGAATGTTTGGGTTTTTTTGGTTTTGTTTCGGAGTTTAAAATGGGGTTTGGTTGTTGCGAGGTGCATGGAGGTGGGAGATGGAAGGTTTGTCGTGAATGCAATGCGCACACACGATATTTGCACCACTGACCAACTTCAATTTGGTCGCTTTCAATTCAATTTCATTAGTTTATTACCTCCGAGGTAGGCGCTCGTTATTTCGTATTTGTATCCTACGATTAGCGGTAATTAAAATGCAGTGCTGAGATCATTTGTCAACCTCCCAACACCATCGATCCGAGGTCTGCATCGCATGTCAATTCAACGAGCCTGAAACATTTACTAGGTTGGAGCTTTTCACGATACTTCCATCTACGGAAGGCATACCTGAGAAGTGCAGTGCCAGTTGGCATTCAAACGGACATCGCGAGAAGGCGGAAGCGACAATGGTAGTGCCTGTTTTGGTAGTTATGGGGATGAAGGGAAGACCATTATCGTCCGCAAAGGGAAAACACAAAAGGACAAGAAGAAAACATCAAGAATGCATCTAGGACACTCATCATCACCACCAATAGACACAGCACAACATCTATCAGCAGCGTTCAGCTCACTATCGGATACCAAGGAGACAAAGTCAGTCAGCAGTCAGCACGCAAAAGCTTCAAAGTTCCAACAGCGGGTACCTATTTGGATTTTGGTGTGTTCCCAAGACCCCCCTGACAGGAAACAACCAAAAAAAGTCACCTAACAACACCCACCAATGGTTGTGCTTACGGATAATCCCATCCTAGGAGACGGACCAAAGAAAGCAAACCACCACCTCGAACTCCACTCCTCAGTTCGCTCTACATATCTCCCCTCCCATCCCATCCAGATCTTAGCAAACTGGTCGTCTCGTAGTCATTACTCATTCTCAGCCCTCTTCTTCTACCAACCACTGGACGCCAACAAACACCCAAGTCCCAACTCCCAACGAAGTAAAGATGTGCCAACAAACCATAGAAATCTTCCCCTGCTCGACCCCCGGATGCGAACGAACGACCAAGGTGGACCGAAGAACCCTGGGCGCTCTGTGTACCAAGGCCATCAATTATGGGAAGGAGAAGATGCGCTGGGGGATTTGCTTGAAAATCCAGACGACACAGGTATCTGTTAGCGATGCGGATTCTTACTGCAAAGAGTGTATGGCGAAGAAGAAGGAGCAAGATCGGCGGGATCAGGAGGATTGCGAAGCGGACGGGGCGGAATCTCGTGCTGAGCCTGATGATGAAGGTCAGGGACGGTAGTGGGGTGTGGTTTTTGGGGAGGGAAGTGGAGGGGAGTGGAGGGAATGGGTTGGGTAATTGAAGTGGGTGGTGTGGGAAATTATTTGCAGTAAAGGCAGGCAAAGGTTTGATCATCAAGATAGAAGGCAAGCTGGCTTTCAGCTCCTTCCATATATACGCAATTGGATGTGACGAAGAAATAAAGGCAAGAGCATATCGTAGGTAGTGGACTCGGGAAATTCGCCATTGCCAACTTTCCTTCCTATCTGGGCGCCGGATAGGAGGCATAAAGGCAAACCCGAATGAGCAGATAGAAACGCATGTAAGCCAGCAGAAGATGTTAGCGTTTTCTGGTTTCTTTTAAGTATAAATAAAGAAAATGGCTGACTTATATGCTGCCGTCAAATATGCTGAAGTGATTCACGGCACGCCGTGTTATCATGTCCTTGTCCGGCTTTCAGACAGCAAGTTTCCTTTTCATGACCGCGTACCTTACAGCTCCGAGTGTTGCAGTTATACAAGTCTGAGTCTGCCTTACATATATACACGCAAGATCGTGGGTGCCAATATTATAGAGCTTCAAAGATGACAGTCGCAATTGGGAAACAAGGACATAAATCCAAAATCTGAACTGCACAGACGTATTTGGTAGAATATGCAGCAGACTTGCAATTTGTTGCGGGCATATCAATATGTATGTCTGGTCAAAAAAGGGACTTGGATTTGCTTTCTGTCTGGAAGAAATCCAGCAAGATATCAACCACCCATGTATTCGAGACTCCCATCATCATAATCTTACCTAGAGGTATTTTCTTCTTCTTCATTCAGAAGCAAACGAGCGATTTACACTCCCATCATCATAATCATACCTATTTTCTTCTTTCTCTCTTCATGGTCAACACATTATTCGATATCCCCGATAGCGTACCCATCGAAGAATCTCAGGGCTTCGACCACGGCCACTTGCTGGCTGAAGTATGTTCGTGTTCCCACTACCCTCTCGGCTTTGAAACAAAACACAAAACATCATAAGAAACAGCCACTAACCGACGCTTGAATACTAGACTCCGAGAAATCAACCCACATTTAACCCTCGAATTCCGCCTCGACTCCCAGCCCCAAATTCGTCTCCCCCGACACGCAATACGCAATACGCAAGTCATTTTCCCATCGAGCCTCCATAATATCAGACAAATATCTACAACAACTTGCTCCATCCGACGCACACGGCGGCGGCGGCGGCGGCGGCGGAAATCGAGTCTGGGGCACTTGTCTCAATGGCCCTAAAGACAGGGTCTTGGTCGTCAACACGCGCTCATACTGCGCCGGCTGCGCCAAAAGAGCTTGGAAAGCGGATGGAGACGAGGATTCTGGGTACGTTGCTGGTAGGCAGTAAATGTCGGATAAGTAATAGATGACATGGGTCATTGTTTCCTTACTAGCTCAACTGCTCTAGACGCTTCATGTCGGGATAACTTCTTTACCATAGAGCCTAGACTTTAGACTTTAGACTTTAGGCGTTTTTGCACCGAATTGAGACATTTCGTTGTGCCAATGATGCGTATTCTACTTTGTCGATGGTGTTTTGGAAGGTTGATAAGGCACATGGATGCGAGTGATACGAGGGACTGAATGTGGAGAGAGGGGGCAGGTCTTTGAAGCAATGTCGATTCCTTTATCCTGTGTATCTATTTTTGTGGTTGTGTTTGGAATATCCGCCCCGGGTTCCTGCTTCTAAAACTGTTCGTGGTGCGCTTGACATGCTATAAGTGTATGTAAAGAAGATGGTATATGATAAGAAGAAGTATATATAAGCCACCACGATGAGGTGAAGAAGGGGTCGGATGATGGTGTTCATTTACATGCAATGCCGCCTCTGCCCATCTTTCATTCAATCCAGACATCCCCATCCGCAATCCGTTCATGTAATCCAAATCTTAAACTGTTATGTAGTGTGAATGATGCGAAAATCGAAGGACCTCCCGCAAGATATGCGAGTAGCCTCCTCCGGTTCAGAATTTTTAGAGTAACACCCAAGTCCTCACGAACTCGTCCATCTATCATCACGACCTAGGACTAAGCGCCCCCGTACTAAGCGGACTCTTCAACCCCGGAGTTAGCCCACCACCACCAGCTGCAACCGTTGCCGTCGTCCGCCTCAAGGCACGCAGTTCCTCCTCCAGCTTACGACGCTTGGCCAGTTCCTCCTGTTGAGACAAGTCAGGTTAGCACACATTCAGAGTTTTAAAAAAAAAAAAAGAAAACCAAAGAGGCAACGTACCTTCATCTCCCCATTAAACCTCTTTCTCTCCTCCTTCATCGTCGCCCTAAACTGCTCACTGAGCATCGTCGCGCCCATCCTGGGACTCAACATGCCGTTAGCACTACCCGCCGCGCTCAGCGCCGGACTGGGTGGCGGTCTTAGACGCTCCTTATCCAATTCCTCCTTCAGTCTACCAATCTCCCGGTCCATCTTCTCCCTTAGCTCCGCCACCTCGCTGTCCAGCGACTCCTTGGCCTGCAGCGCGTCATCCAGCTTATGCTCTAGATCAAGCTTCTCCTTCTCGGCAGCGATTGACTCCTTGGTAATCGCCTCAAAGTCCCTGAGCGTGCTCTCCAGCTCCATCTTCAGCTTGGCCACCTGCGCCTGCAAGTCCGCCAGCTCGCTCTTATTGCTGATAGCCGCTGCCTGGGCAGCCCGCTCGGCGCGCGACCCGTAGGCTCCGTCTAGCTCGGCCTTGGCGATGGTCATTTCCATCTTGATCTCGACGAGCATCATGTTCATGCGCTCGAGCTCCTCGTCCTTGTCTTTGATTTCCTTGCGCAAGCCCTCGACGATGTCCTCGGCGTCCTTCTGGGACTTTTCGGCTGCCGCCTTGGCCTTGGCGGATTGCTCGAGCTGGGACTGCAGATCGACCACGTCCGCTTCCGTCTCGGCCAGGCGCGTGGACACGTCATTGAACTTGCTCTCCAGGTTGGCGATGACGGCGTTGCGCTCCATGAGCTTATCCTGCGTCTGCTGCGCGCCGCGCGCCATGGCGGCCTCTTCGCGCTCGGCCGTGGTGCGCTGCATCGTCTCCATTTGCTCGAGGGCGCTTTCCATCTTGTCCTTTGCTTCGTGGACGCGGGCCTCGGCGTCATCGATGAGGGTGCGCATTTTCTCGAGTTCATCCATCTTCGCGCGCAGCTCGGCGTCCTTTTCTGACCCGCTCTTGTTGTTGAGCTCGCGCTGCTGCTTGATTTGGCGCTGCAATACGGCCTTTTGCTCCTTGAGACTGGTGGCTTGGGCGTAGAGCCATTGGACCTTGGCGGAGAAACCCTGGAGCGAGTACTGCTCGTTGGGATCGATGGCTTCGTCGTTGCCGGAGAGGTAGTCTTCGTCTTCGTCGTCGACAGACAGGTTCATCTCGATACGCTTCTGGCGACGGGCAGCCTTGGCGCGTTGAATCTCCGCGTAGCCGGTGTGGATGATATCCCACAGACCCATGAGTACGGCCTCGACTTGCTCGCTGTTGGATCTGCTGGCGTTGTTGTTAGTATTAGCAGTCGAACCCTGGGCGCGGCCCATCTCGACTCTGATGGTGCGCAGGGTGCTCTCGAGGTAGTCAAGTTGCTCATCGAGAGATCCTTCGGAGACCGTGGGAGGAGCAGGTGTGTCGGGAACGGTCTGTGTCAGGAAGGTATGGGCACGCCTGTTCAGTGCCTCGATGCGCTTTTCGGCCTGGGTGAGGGTGGCCACCGAGGCATCACCGGCAAGTTCCAAGTCTCTGTTGATCGCTGCAGATCTCAGTTGCTGCTCGTGCATGGCCATGTCAAGACCACGCTCAAGGTAGTTAAGTTGAACAGGGAGCGTTTGGCCATTTCCGGCGGAAGGCTCAGGATCATCGAGGTTAGCATCGGCGGACGGGTTGATCTCCGTGATTACATCTCTCAGCTTGTGATTCAAGATCCCCAGTCTCTGCTCGGTTTCCGCGAACAGCCTGATTTGGTCGTTGATCTCCGTGCGAATAGCGTCATTCTCGGCCGAAAGTTCCTGCTGTCCTGCCCTGAGCTGGTCCTCTGTGTCCCGGAGCTTCTGCTCCGCCGCCTTAAGCCTCTCGTTCTCTTCCTTGACCCGCTCCATCTCTTCCCGCAGCTGGCTGGTCTGCTCACGGATTGGCGATTTTGGTGGGATTTCGAGATTCGTCAAAGTTGGCGCTGCAGTAGAAGCAGGGGTCACCGATCTCTCAGCTGGTCCTTCCGAGGGGTGTAATGTTCGCCAGTCGAATCCATCATCTCCGCCGATGGGTTCCATGCTGATACTGTCCCGCGAGTTGGTGTATGTGTAGAGACTTTCGGGGCTCTCGGGCATGCCATTGACCATCATCGAGTTGCCAAAGACCTGGCCGTTGGGCGTCTGCGCGTTCCTCCTTCTCGCGCCATGTGTCAACTGCAAGATGGCGGCGGTATGTTGCAGTAGCCGGCGTTGAGAGTCAAACAGATGGTTTTCGAGCATGGCGAGCTCAGATGAAAGCTCATTGCAAAGGCGCTCGCTGTTTTGCTTCTCCACTTCGGCCTCCCTCGCAGCAGCAATGTCGTCACGGGAGCTGTTTCTCCTGTGTCCAGGGTTGTATAGTCGGGCCATGGATACGGCGGCATCGCGGTACTTTGTCTGGATAGCGAGGTTGGCGCGGGCTTGGTCGATGCGTATCGTTAGGGAGTGGGTTTGTTTCTTGAGGTCGTCCACCTCTTCTTGGGATAGGATCTCCCATTGCTTGCTATCACTCAAAGCGGTTTCCATCAAGAGGTGGATTTGGATAGGGTCATCCAGGTCGACCATCGCAGAGATTCGGGGCCGGTCGGCGGCGTTGACCTGTAGGCGAAGCACTTCTGTTAGCCCACAACCCAGCCTTGAATCCCCTGGATATTCTCTCCAGTCAATTGGGTCGTTCTTACGGGAGTGTACCGCGACTTATCGAACCCGTCGGTCATAGACCTCTCCAGGGCATGAAGGGGAGGGGGCGCCCCTTTCCTAGTCGCGGCTCCATTCATGATTATGAATTATTAGGGTTAGGTGTAGTAGGTAGGTAGTTGCGTATGCGCCGTGGCGTTGTCGTCGTATTAGGTATTCAAGAGAGTGATGATTGTGGCCTGGGGCTGGTTCGGTATTCGTTCGAAAGTACAACTTAGGTCGTCCAAGACATTATACAAAAAGGGCGAAAGAGCGTGGAAAGGCGAGTCACAAAACAGACAGTTGGTCGGGTCGTGTCGTTGCAAAACTATAGCGGCGCCATGCAATGTTTCGTGGGTTGACTATGCGCGGTCGCGAGGATGTTCGAGATGCGACTGCAATGCGGCTGTCCAGGCACCGGGTACGTCTCCTGTATGCACAATGCAAGGGGACCGAAGTTGGAGACTTTTGAGGAGGAGGAGGATGGAAGCGACGAACGGGATGAAAGCGGTCGGTCGGGTCGGCCCACGCGGGATGGGTCTACAAAGTCACTGACTGCACTGTAGCTGTGTTTGAGTTTTGGGTGCCAGTTAACCGACGATCCTTTCCTTCAATTGCCGTCCGGGGGCTGCCAAGAGATGTGTCCTTCCTCAGGGGCTCAAAGACGACTTCAACAATGGGCAGAGAAACAAGAGTCAAGAATTCTGTCAAAAAGAAACTCCATGGAAACTGACGCGAAGACCGAAATCAGATCAACAAAATCAAGGGGGGAAAGATGGACCAAAGTGCCTTAATCCAGAAAGGGAAACCAATTTTATATGGACATGGACCCGACCCGAGAGAGGCGTCTCCACCTTTACTGGCGACCTGAAGCCTGTAACCGCTGTGAAGCTAGCGCCAAAGCTGGGCTGTACCTGCGTGGTGGGTGGGGTTCTCTTTTCGGTCTAAGTCCTTCATCCTGGGCCAGCTATCGAGGTCCTCTCTTCCACTTTCAATATGCCGGGGGACATTAAAATGAACAACGTTCTTTTCGGAAGTGAACAAGTGGAAGTGATCGGAGAACATGTTAGCCGAGGGTTTCAGAAAGAAGTATCTCTATTTCTCGACAGATGGGCTGGAGAGCGGATTATCTGAATGTCGAGTGAAGTGTTACATGTCTGCCCTCACAACGTACGCATATTAAGTTCACGATGACATTGATGATCAAACGACCGTTCAGGAGCTAACCGTGTTTTATGCTTTCAGAACGTTGCCGTAGTCCGAATACCCAGACTTTTTGATCCCCTTATTCGTTGTTCAAAGCTTGAATACTCCAAGCACTCACCATGAATTTCCCTTGCTTAATCAAGCGCGTCGGGCCAAGGTGTGGACCTTCATTATCTCACAGCTAAAGCTTGTAATGTCAACAAAACGGGCGTTGTCCGAGAAAATCGAGTCCCGCTACAGATATACTTTGTTTCTTCATAACCATGCTCGAGCCCTTGTCCTGTGAGTATATCGAGATCACATCTCAAGGCTAAACTCGACTCCTTTTAGAAACCTTCATCCATACCACGGATGCTCTTTGTAGAGGTAGGTCTACAATGAAGGGACGTTGTGAATGATGCTTTCGCCTCACAGAACCCTACGGCGCCTGGCCTGAAGGTTATCGGAGCTGGCATGACCGGCTTGGGGCTCGAACATCAATAGCAACAAGCTCTAGTTCGCGATCAATTCATTACTAGAAGTGCTTCCCATGGGATGCCGGACAGGAGGAGGGAATCTTGTCCTGTGTCCAAGCTTGCATTCATGCAGAGACAGCAGACAATACGGGCGTTCAACCTGACATACTGCGTTGCGAAATAACGTTTGTATTGATGGTGTCCTCCCTGGCTCGAACCCTTCACATCCGGACGGAAATCCCCGTACTCTCCATCCTCAGAACGCCCCTCTAACCTCATCAATCAATTGCTGACCCAACGGTCTCCTCCTGTTTTCTCCCTCAACAACCGGCTGCGCTCCCGTAGCCACTCCAGTAGAAGAAGCCCCCTCATCCTCCAGCCTCCGGCGAATCCCATCAAACCTATCGTTCCTCTTCTGAGAGCGAAGACCAACCACCCACCCAGGCACCCTCCATCTCGACACCGCCGCAGGCAAGAGATCGTTGCGCCACAAATACCCCACTACCCAACCGATCACGGCACCGAGGAGAGAGCCAGGCCACTGAAAGAGGGCCAGCTGCAAGGCCATGAGATACCTTGTCGACTTGTCTGAGAAGATGAGCCCGCTGGTGTCGTCGCTGGCGTTGGTTGGAGGAGGACTAGTGGATAGCGCGACCTTGTACTTGTAGATTTGCGGGATCATTGCGTGGTACTGCGCGAGAATGGCGAACAGGACGGGCGTTGGGCCGGCAGGGATGTAATCCAGGGCGCCGAAGGAGAGTGGACGTATGAACACGGAGAGGAAGAAAGGTGGAAGGATGGCGGTGATGAGGCCGGCTATGACAATGAAAGACTATTTTGACGTCTGTGGTGAGTATCACTGACGGTCTGTGAGGTGAGGAAAATAAGAAGTACTTACGGCATATTTCCTGGACCCCCAAAACCGCTCAACCATTCTCATGTGGGTAAAGGGACATGGCTCCAAAGAGGACCTCGGATGAGTTGGTGTAGCATAGTTGGTACGTGAAGATGCGCCATAGTTGTCCGTAGCGGAGGAAGTGAGTGCCGATTGAGATGTAGAAGTAGTGCTTGATATCAAATATGCTGGCGGCGATGGAGGACCCGACCAGGCCCAAGACCAATGCCTTGGTCACTGGCGCGTCAGTGAAGGACATGATGTGTTTATCTGGTCCCGGGCTTTTTTCTGATAATTTCCAGGCCGTCACGGAGGATCAAGACTGCCCAAGCCTAATGTGACGAGCAAGTTGGGTTGTTGAGGTGAGCCTTGCGCCAAGAGATGACCGAGACCGTATATAGTCAGGTAAGTACCGCTTTCCCCCTTTTGAATGTGTCCCGTCTCTTGGGATATGGCAGGCAATCAGATGTACATATGAAGAAGGTTTTAGGTTTTTATTTTCGGAGGACTCGTGTCAACCGAAACACTTGTCCAGATGCGCCGGGCAGTCAGGGCAGTGGTGTTTAGGTTTCAAGGGGTGAAGAAGAGTGTCGAAGTTGAATGGAAGCTGTCGGTCGTTCCTTCTTTATCGCCGGCCGTCACGGTTCCTGGCCAAGACCCGCCGATGACATGTGTCCCGAGAATTAAAAGTGGGGCCACAAGCGGACTTCAACCCTGCCTGCCACGGCCGGGAAATGGAGAGAAATGATAGGACCACAACGAATGGAAAGCCTCGGAGTGGCATTCTCTCCACTGTGACTCTGTAAGTTACCTGACCGGATTTCATGTAGAGTTCAGTAGGGTACGGCGTCCACAAACAAGCTGTGCTTTATCATTCTGTCTTCAGCATCAACACGAGAGCCTTTTTACCCTTCTCCGTGCTTTGCAATTATATCTTGTTCACTGCATATCGTGCCTCCATTTCTCCAACTTTGGCTGCCCATCGAACGCCCGTTGTGCGCATCGTCGATCCGGCGCTAGAGTCCCCAGAAAAAGTTCCTTCGGAGCTTCAATTTGAACTTCCACTTCAGTCCCTCCATTCTGGGTCCCTTTGGAGGCTGATCCCGTCCAACCTCAGGTCTCCACGCCCTCGTCTTCTCAATCCCCCTCCCATATTCAATAACGGATCGACCACTTCGCATTACTGCATCTCCCGGCCCTTGTGTGTGCGGTAATTCGGCATCATGTCTGATCTCTATCTCTCCCGCATTCGAAACTGGTTCCTCAGTTCGCCCCCGGCAGAATGGGCCATCAAGGGACTCCGCGAAACCCTTATCGGCGCCTTGAAGCAGGGCCCCATCCCTCGCCACGTGGCTTTCGTTATGGACGGTAATCGAAGGTATGCCCGGAGTCACAAGATCGAGACCATTGAGGGCCACCATCTCGGCTTCGAGGCACTTGCGAGGGTACGTTATCATTTACGCGGGGTCCCTGAGTTATGGGTCATGTTGACTGACATGTGATTGTATCATCAGGTCCTCGAAATATGCTACAAGTGCGGTGTCGAGGTCGTGACAGTTTACGCTTTCAGCATCGAGAACTTCAACCGCCCAAAGTACGAGGTCGATGGCCTGATGCAGCTGGCAAAGGTCAAGCTGGAGCAACTGATTCAGCATGGAGAACTACTTGAACGATACGGTGCCAGCGTCCGCGTGTTGGGCGAGCGTGATCTTTTGAGCGACGATGTGCTCGAGGTTATCGACCGTGCCGTTTCCACAACCAAGAACAACAAGAAGTACGCATTTCTCGTTACTGTGGCCCTTCCCAACCAGGTAACAAGTTAGCTGACCAAGCTCTTCTAGGTGCATCTTGAACATTTGCTTCCCATACACATCCCGAGAGGAAATGACGACAGCCATCCGTTCCACGGTCGAGGAGTACTCGAAATCATCCGCCCCGAAGAGCACGCCCTTCTCGCAGACGCGCATTACACAAAAGATTATGTCCAAGCAGGGAGACAAGAGCGAGAAGAGCGAAAGCGACAACTCGTCTTCGGGACAAGAGCCGCCGCACAGCCTAGCCGAATCAGACGATAATGAAGACTCCATGTCGTCCACCACGACACTATACCCAGATTCCCCAGGCCGCGTCTCCAAGGACGGCTCCAACAACATTACCATATACCCCAACGCCGAGAACATCACGGCCGAGACGATCGATAAGCACATGTACACGGCCGACTGCCCACCGCTAGACATGTTTGTGCGGACCAGTGACGTGGAGAGATTGAGCGACTTTATGCTGTGGCAGTGCCACCAAGATACCCAAATGTTTTTCCTCAAGTGTTTCTGGCCTGAGTTTGACCTGCGGCATTTCCTCCCTGTCCTGCTGGAGTGGCAGTGGCGGCAGAAGAAGAAGGCGATGGAGGAGGGGCCTCGACAGCGGGTCAAGGCGGCCTAGATGGCTGGTGTTGATAATACCCCAAAGTTGTGCAATCCGTTGGAGCGAAAAAGAGTCCAGTCGATTTCTTTATTTTAGATATCTTAGCAGCGTATAGAAACTCCAGGGTCGAGAGGACCCCGTTCACATGTTACGGCTTGAAAGAAGGGCTCAAGATTTGTATTTTCGACCAGGTTCGTACATCTGCGTATTTCACATCACCCGCATGAACATGTCCAGGAAGTTTTGAATCACAAACCAAGCATTAAGTCTGGATAGCCTTTTTGTGTTGTCATATCATGTCTTCCGGCTGCTCAAGCATGCGCCCGATAACGGACTTCAAATCTTCAAACCCAGGCGGCAGGAGAATTCGACGAATTTCCTCACTCAAAACCAAATCGAACGGGCAAGTTTATTACAAGAAAACAATAACTCATCACTGCTAACCCAATTCGACAAATGATGAAGCAGCTGGTCGGTATGCCTTTCATGGTCGACCTCAATGGCTCGGCGATAAGACAAGGCCTTATCTTATCGCATCCTCTTCCTGCCGCCAGTGACGTATCGGAGGTCTCGAAAATTTGGAGTCAGCCAATGAGAGGCCGTACTGAGTGGCATGGCTCCTCGGGCACTCGAGCACTTGCCAGCCGGCAAAAGAGGAAGAGCTCGGAAAACTCAGCAAGCACGCTATTGAAGCCAAAACGACAGTGATATGACAGTGGCAGAATGCCTCGGTTATACCTGTGTACCTTTGGAGGTTATCTGCAGCTGCCATTCGGTTGGTTGAGATGCGATTGTTGCGGTCGCGGTTCTCGTCGGGGTGTCGATGGTGGGTGCCGCGACTGGAAGGTCCAGCGGCAGTGCGCCAGGGCAGCCAGGGTGTCCAGGTGCTTCAGCGCAGAAGACGGGAGAGCACACTGTCCCTTCAGGCAGTGGAAGTTCCCGCCCGCCCACCGGAGCAGGGCAACGGGCGGGAATGATCCCCAATCGCATCCATCTTTCTCTGGGCGGACACCCGCACGGCATTCGCATTCAGTCCCAAGTCGAAGTGGAAAGTCTCTCTTCCACACAAACACACAAACACCACACACACCCGACCACGGCCACCCTAACCTCCTCTTTTTTCTGTCCAAATTCCCCAGGACTAGCTGACGCCCACGCATTTTACTTCGACGAGATATACCCACGGCGACATGTTCTGACACCTCTTTTGCAGCCCCGTACACCTACTCCCCTGGCCAGCAGTGATCAACGACTTCGCCGCCGTACTGCTTACCTGACTCTTCTCCGTCCCCGACGCCCCAGACACGAGCTGGAAGCGCCGCCACGAATTCTAGGGAGCAGAAGCAGAGTTAGATCCAGACCTACTCTTGCGCTTTGACGCTCCATACCCCTCGTCTACTTCCTGTCTCGTTTTACTTCCCACCTAATAAGCTTCTTTATCCAACCATCCACGCCGCGCGCGTCAGATACCAGACCTCTCTACCGACCATGAAGACGGCTAAACCTCCCGCGGCCGAGGCTCCCTCGGGGCCATCTGGCTCGAATCGCAGAGCACAACCCGTGCGACAGACGCGAATCAACCCTCCACGAACCAACTCCCTCAATCGAAACAACTCGTTCCCCAGCGGCCCTGCCCCGGAGCAGCCCATCGACATCTTCCCCGCCGTCACCCACTTCGCCGATGCCATTACCGCCCTGCCAAAGGAGCTTGTGCGGCACTTCACTCTCCTTAAGGAGGTCGATGCCAAGATCTTTGCTCCCGAAGCGGCCCTCTTCGAGCTCGTCGGTGCCGCTCTCAAGGCTCCCGTCCCAGACCGCACCCGATCGAATACCGATGGCAATAGTAGCGTTGCGCCGGCGTCGACGCCAATCAGTGCCCAGAACAGCGCCGGCGGACTGGTGCCCGCGAACGCGAACCCCGCTACGGTACCACCATCGAACACCGATTCGGCCCATGCCGCCGTCTTCGACCCTACCAATCTACCGCGTCGGCACCTGTTCAGACAGGCCGCCTGGAAGATACAAGAAATGCTAGTTTCCCTCGAGGAAAAGAACCACGTCATATCCACTGCGAACGATGCCCTTCACAAGCAGCTGTCGCGCATTGAGGAGATTTGGCCACACCTGGAGAACGAGTTCAGCGACGAGGCCAAATGGGGCAGCACTACACACTGGGCATACGCCGAGAACCGGGTTCCCAAGACAAACCACAAGGAAGCGGAGCGATCACGACGCGAAGGTGCGGCTACCCTCTCTGCCGCTGCCCAACAGATAGCCGAAGAAGCCGCTGCACGTAGTAGCGACAGGAAACAGGCGTTGGCAGCGAAGAAGAACAACAAAGGACAGGCCACTGAACCAGAGGCAGATTTAAAAGCACAGGAAACCACCAAGAAGGGCCCAGGGACCGGCAAATCCAGGAAACACCAGGCCGAAGCTACCCCCGTCGGACTCGGAATCGCCAATGGCACCCCGACTAATGGGGCCGAACCATCAAAAAGACGAAAGGTCAACAAGGAGCCCAAAACCAATGGAGGTGCCCCTATGGAACGTGCCATGAGCAGCGTCTTTGGCAATGGAACGGGAAAAACCAAGGCAACCGCGAGTCCCCGGGGATCCCCAGCGCCCGATGGAGCCGCCCCAGCCGGACCTACTACGAAGAAGCGTAAGGCGCTCCCGTCAGGAAGTGGACAGGCCAAGAAGAGGTATGTTTACAGCGCTTCTGCTTCCCTTACCTCACCTTATCATCCTAACCCCTGTGCTACAGCAGGACGAATGCCGCCAATTCACCGTCGGTGGCGGCATCTCCCCTTCTGGGATCTCTTCCTGATCCCAAGGCCGGACGTAACTCCCCCGTGCCACTTCCTCCTCGTCCGGCTTCGTCACGCGCACGTCAGAACTCTACCGCGTCTACCAACCTCCCTATACAGCAACGACCCGCGACCGCCACCACAAACAAGCCCAACGGGATTACACCGGCAGTAATGGAAGCCGTGGCGCAGAGCAAGTCAACTTCAGATGCGAAGGTACAAAAGGAAGCCGAACCCGTTATCGCTACGCCTGCCAAGACCGAGACCGCGAAGCCAGAGACAGAAATCAAGCCTCCTATCCCACCAGAGCCGGTATTCAACGCTGCCACAGCCAAGAAAGAAACTGGCAAGGCGGCGACTGTCCCAGCCGAAGAGCCGGAACCACCCAAGAAAAGAGCAAACTCGTTAGTAACACAGACAGCGATACTACCTCCGCCAATAAGTACTGTTGTGACAACCACCAAGAGCGGTCGCGCGAGCAAGCCGTCAACACCAGCGTTGGGTACCTTCGCCGAGGCTGCCAATGCCACCACAACGACTGCGAGGTCACGACCATCAAGGAACAACACTAATCAATCGGACAAAGACAGCAACGGCACTAGTGGAAAGGATACCTTTGGTAACAGTACCGTCACGGCATCAGGAGCCACGACATCAAAGCGCAGCCACAAGAAGGGCGCTTCTGCGGTCTCGGCCATGGCTGTCTCTGCTGCTCTTCAAGATGAGAAGCCAGGCAAGTCAGCCGCGGCTTCGGACGAAAAGAAGGACGTCAGCGACGAGAATAACGGCCGACCCACCACTAGCGGCCGAGGGAAGGGCGGCGCCGCTCATCGTGACAGCAAAGCCGAAAGGGCCTCGGAAAGAGACCGAGGAGGCGACCGCGACACAAAGTCTGAGACCGGCCACGGTCACGGTCACGGAAGAAGAAGTACCGCTGCGGCTGCTGCTGCCAGGGCTCAGCAACAGCAACCTCAGCAACAACGGCAGGAGGAAGAGGACGACGATGACGATGATGAGGTCGACGCTGATGAGCAGCGATACTGCTTCTGCAACGGAGTCAGCTACGGAGAGATGGTGGCTTGCGATGGAGACGGGTGTCCAAGGGAATGGTTCCATTTGGAGTGTGTGGGGCTGAAGGTGGCGCCCAAGGGGAATGGTGAGTCTTTGTTCTTTCTTTGTTTGTTCCGCTCTTTGTCATTGTCCGGATTTAAGCTAACCTGACTTGTGATAAAACAGCGAAATGGTATTGTGAGGATTGCAAAAAGAGGTTACGCGCTTCGGGCAGGTGAGGAGGATTTCAATTGTCCAATTAGGAGCGCAATGATCTACCTACTGAGGTAGTTGGACAGTGGCGAGCGGCCGGTGTTCACGTACATATATTCATCTTTTGCGAATGTACGACAACTCTGAAAATGATTGCAGTTCATGACTATACTATGACTTAGTCGGATGGTGAGATCCGACGCGAAAAGGGGAGACGGTGAACAAAATGGCGTTGCAATGATGGATATAATGACGAACGAACGAACCGACGAACGAACGAAGGCATGTTTGGATCGTAGACATTGTTGGTTGACGATTATCGATATGTTTTGTCTCCTCATGTATAGATGTTGTAGGCTATGCTCTTCTATCAATGGGCTGGACGCTTTTTCCTGTATTGTTTCTTCCCTGCATATACTATTCAGTCTTTTCTGCCCACTTTATCATCATGATATTTTCCCCAGACACCACTGTGAATAACCTCAATGCGCTCGACCTGGCACACCCAGCTCAAATATCTTGAATGCCCACCCACCCCTCTCATCCTGATCGTGTCTAGCATAGCAACAAATGGGTCCGTCTTTTTCTCTACAATACAATCTAACAACGCTGGTCTGTTTGTTTGTTACAAATAGCTCGGTAAGTACTCCTAACGCAGGGGACAAAAAAGTATTTATTCTAAACTGTCCCTTAAACCTCACAAGAGCAAGAGCAATATGAATGAATGGCTATGTACAAATTGAATATGTAATATAAGTAAAGAACCAGTGTGACAAATGCAAGCAAGGTGGAATTACGCTTTGGTTAGGTATGAAACACCAAGGTTGACTAGAGGTTTTGAGCTAACAAACAAACAAACAAACAAAACAGTAGTGGACTGTACACTTACAACCAGATACATCGCACCCTATTTCACGTCACGGACAAGTTCGATTATCTGTTGTGTAGGTTAGTTGATTAGTTCACCTCGACAAATCACCTCAACAACTGACAAGTCTGGATGCTCGCCAAGAACCCAAGAAAACCAAAAACGCACCAATATGTCTATACGACCTTCCCCTCACTTTGCTCACTTTGGTCAAGAAAATGTTATGTAACGTAAAATCCTCAAGAACACCGAAATCTCCAGTCCCATGGAACGGAGACAACTTGAACATTCAACTTGCAGCTACGTAGTATCTCCGTTACCTTCTATGCTAATGGCTGGGTTAGGTTCGTGATGTTCGTGATGTTCGGTATGTACCTGCATGCATCACATCTTCATGGGCACAGCTGGCGTCGTGAGCGTCGTGAGGAGACTATACACGTGTTTCTCAATCGACGATTTGATTTGCTTAACTGTATGTACTTCCCCTCATGCTTCCCACGTCTCTCACGTCTCTCATGCCTCTTTGCTCCATCGACGAGACGGCACATCAGCGACACATCAAAAAGGGCTGATGTTGGAAATGGAGATCATGGAGATCATACAGCTGTCGTCTGATCGTCAAATGTCAGGCTCTGGGTTGGATTGGGCAGGGTTGGGGTGGGTTGCCGCGACGTCTTATACGAGACAAAAAGATAAGATGCCCATTAGATAGATAGATAGATACGTCACAGTCATGATATGTCATGACATTTCCTGATGAGTTTCGTGAGAGTTTGTTGAGAGGAGACATTCGGGATTCGGGGATGAGAGTGGAGTGAAGTTTAGAGGGGGAGAGTATATAGGTAGGTAGGTAGGTAGCACACCATTGGATCGAAACATCCAAATATTATTATTATGTATTATGTACCGACCGGTGAGGATCGCTTCGCTTTTACTATCCATTGCCTGTCTCTCTCTCTCTGTGCTTTTTCTTTTCTTGGTTCTTCGTCCGTCACATCTCCCTGATCGACACCTGGGCAACATGGGGATTAGAATACATATTTCTAGCCAACCCAGCCGAGAAAGAAGAGGGAGCAAAGAGTAAAGACGGTCAACGGAACGACGCCCGAACGTCTTCACCCATCCCCGGCGCCTTCTGGCATTAGGGAGAAAAATGGTTGGTCAATGGTTCTTTCCTGTCAGGGCAGGGTGACAGGGTCATGTGAGCACTCGGCACCGCAAGCCCCAGGGGAGAGAGAACTTTTGAACTTTGGGGAAGCTGAGAAAATGTCTACTTTCGACACACAGTCCCCTTTTCTTTGTCGTTTCTCTATTTCTTTTTCATGCCCCCCTGTCCCCCATGGTCTTTTGGCATCCTCCCGTTGGCTAAAAAATGTTGTTCGGGTGACGGGAGGGAGGGAGAGAACGAGGAAGATCTGGCCAAGACTTTAGGAAGTGCCCGAAAACCTGGGGTAAGTGGTACTGTGGTGTACTGTGAAAGTGTAAAGTGAAAAGTCGGGTGGATGGTCTGGGCCTTTTGTTATGCTTGTCTGCGTATCTGTAACGTTGTCTTGACTTTTGAAAAAGAATCGTGTGGTTTTACTTGACTTGTCCACAGGGAGAAAAATGCGGAAATCCATTGGTGAGTACTTGATCACTTGACAGCATGGCAAAGCAGCACAGAACGACATCGTCACCGTAACCTGGTATAACGTGCTGAACTATTCGGAAGGGCACATTCAGCACGCAATCCCGTATTTCCGTACGTCAGGCAGGAGGTCCTGATGAAAAGTGTAGTGTAGTATATAAAGAGACGTCAGCTCCGCGGAGATGGAAAAAGGGGAACGGTCACACGAATATGTAAAATGCAAATGTTGTGTGTGTGTGTGTGTTGGCTGTGTTGGAGGTGTTGTGCAATGATCGTTACCACCCTGTTGATGTGATGGACAGACTTGTCCCACCTTGGGATGACAGCACGAAATTCATTCCCAAGAAAATGTACGTTGCAGTTTTCTCCTGTTTTTCTGCAAGCTGAGAGTTTCTCCCCAAAGTGATATGCGGGGAAAGGGGAGGGAGAGGAAGATGAGGCTACGCTAGCAAAGTAGCGACAAGTGGTAACACAGCAGACGGGGCATGGAAGAACACCAAGACAAGACAGGGTTAGCTCGGGGCGGCTGCAAGCGGCTCCCCGGATTTTTCTTGCTGAATGGATTTGTTGGAGAAAAGGACGGAGACTGGAGAGAGTGACAGTGACGGTGACGGTGACAAGGGGTAAAGTGAAGGATTTCCACTGGGGAATCAACCAGAAAAAGACGGACCTCCCGTCGTTTGGGAAAAGAAGCGAGAACTTGCGGTGCGAATGATCAGGTGCACGTGAACAGTTCTGAGCCTCTCCCGGGATTGAATGAATGCTGGGACATTCTGGGCCGCACCGTTCGGATCGCTTGGCGTCACCTCATCAATGCCACTCCGTCGTCTCTCAGTGGTCTGCTTGATCATTCCATTTCGGCGCTTGGAAATTTTGGCACCGTTCGACTTTGTCTTGATGTCTTGGGTGATCATTTTTGATGGATGGCTGGCTGGCTGGATGGTTGAAAATTGAGTTTTTGACTTTTTTATGACACCTTGTCCGTCCGTTGTCAATAATCATCTAGACTGGTCATCTTGTTTTCCAATGGCGGGTTTGATTGGCCCATCTTCATTATTAAAGAAATCCTCCGACAACGGCGTGGAGGCGATCTTCTCAAAGAGGGCGAAGAAAGGGGTCCAAACGGTGTGTAAGCCCCCCGGATCCCGGGCCCCCTTGTCGCTCCCCACGTCAAGGTTCTTTTTTGATGAAAGCTTATTGCTGGTTGCTTGATTGCTTGTTGTCGGGGGCACCCGTACAAGAATTTTAATATAAGGGGCTACGTAGCTGCGAGCCTCTGGGAATGCGGTTTCGACCCTTTCAAGCCGACAGATGGAAGTTGGTCACGTCAGCCAAGGGTCGTGTCAGCCGCTGATCGCATCGCAACCGAAAGATGTCTTGGTGAAAGCCTGGACGTCAGAACATCATGGTATGTGGGCCAAGACAAGATGCGGGAATGATTCGAAATCCATCGCGAATTCGGTGTTTTCTTTATAACGGTCGACATGTCGGATGGTTGAATTGTGCACGGGATCGGAAATCTGGAGAAGCGCGAGGAGAAGGGCGGTTTTGATGGTGGAGATGTCACGGCTGTCATTCCGTTGGTGGAGAAGCTCGCTCTCGCCTTCAAGCCATTACGTACGAGTGCGTATCTTTGGTACGGTAACTGTACGGTACGTACCGTTACTGCTGACTTGTCAACCACCGCCACTTCACACCGGTGATGTTATGGCGTGTCATAGAAACTCGGGTAGTTTTGGTATGTCTGCACCGGCCGGCAACTTGAGCTGTTGAGCGACCATGCGGCAATCATGTCTTTGTAGGCATGTCTCCGTACGTCGTCGTGAGCGTGGTGTCAATTGACGGCTCCAACAATCCAAGATTTCTCCAGCAGTGCAGTCCAACATGGCAAAATGCCCCAGTTACTCGATTCGGACGTTTGGTGGGCGATATCCAGGCCCTGGTTGGTCCGCTTCGTATTTCCGGTCGCTGATGCTACAAGATCAACCAAGCCCGAGACACCCTTTGACCGTCAGTCACCCGCACAGCGCTGACAGCAAAGACGACGGCACAGATGAGGCGAAAATGAAAAATTTCTGCATTGTTGGCGGCCCGGTCCCTGATGACCAGCACCTGCACCACAGCTGGAGACGCCGGTCCATGTGGGAGACGGGAGCTGGAGGGTCTTGGCCTTTTGACCCAGTTTCCACCGCGTTCCATCTTTCGTGCTTCTGAGTGGTAGAAAAGTCCCAATGATTCCATGGAGCATTTCTATTTTTTGTAGCCACGATGGGCCCCACCGTCAATCGGTCTTCAACAGTAGCCCATTTTAACTGGGGCCTCCATGATGTGTCCAAAAAAGCCAAATTTCCAATGCCTGCCAAGGGTTCTGCATTCCCATCTGCAAAGGCACAGAGGGTGAGGAGGGTGACTGTCAATGCCGTATTGAGGGGTCTGGCAACCACCCAGCTGGGTCCCAATACAAAGTCACACACCGGACTTCATTGGTAGGGAGTGCGCAAGTCTATGCAAGGCCAGGTGACAAAGGACATCCTTTCCTTGAATTCACGTTGAGTAATAAAAACGCGGACTTGGTGACAGAAAATTCAAGCAGCCCTCCCGGCACGGCATCTGCTGATTTGCCCTAAGTACCTTCCCAATCAAAAAAAGTAGGTCCAGTATTTAATGAGTTTTGTCCTTTTTTTCCACCACACCATCGAACCTGCTCTTTTATTCTGGCCGCTTCTTCTGCCGTCAGTCATTGTCATTGTTTGTGCAACAGCAACCAACAACTATCCGCTTTACAAGTTTCCTGCCAACCGCGTACGGTAATCGAACGGCCAAGGACGAAACGAACGACCAAAAAAAGACGGGAATAGAACCTCCCTCATCCGACGAACCAACCCAACCACAAGGGACCGACCATACAAAGAAGGACCAGCGGAGGGGAACTTTAAATTACGTTCACCCGTGCGCATTTGAGGTCATATTGCGCCTACTTCACTCCTCGTCGTCCCCATTGGTATTAAGACGGTCGGCGCACGTTTTATACTGCCGGTCGTAATTTGTGGTAGCGCCAATTACCAGAAATCTCCAAATTTCCCCAGGTTTACAGAATTACAAGCGACACGGTACCTGTGGACGAGAGACCATACCGACTTCTATTTTCCGCTACTGTGCTCTCGGTCGCTCCCGATACGTAGCCTCTCCACAATATCCCTGGCTTCCTAGCTTTGCACTTGCCTCACTTGACAGCCGGAGAAGTTGGGCCACGAGCCGGTCTGGGCACTTCAGTTCTCCGGCAGCTTTCTCAGCAGCGAGCGGCAAGCGGCGGCGGCGGCGAGCGGGACCTGGGATCTCCGACCCGAGCGAGCATCGAACCTCAGCTCCCTGCTGCGATTGGCACCATCTGGGAGCCAGATCACGACTGCCTGCGGATCCAACTCCAACTCTTCCACTTTCATCAACTGTTTCCATCTGCAGTGCATTGCTGTTCAACACCATTTTCTTTCCCCGCATCACTTGCATCGCCCGGGACCCCCTTCAACCTCGTTCCTCTTACCTAACAGCACCATCCCTTGACTAATAGAAAAACACCAAGCGGCTCCCAAGCGGCTAGCCCTTTTTACCTTAACACCCAAAGAAAAAAAGTCCGGTCTTCCGCACGCCTGTTCTCGTGAGCTCGTGGGACCACCGCGCTTGGACACCTGCCTCACCTGTCGACTCCGGGTTACCCCAACTTGGCGAGGGGCGATCCAAGAACGGCTCTTTATAACCTCTCCGGGATCCAAGAGCTTCCTGACACCGACAACCCACCACAAGCGAAATACCGACTGATCCACCAACAAATCAACCTTCCCTGTCAAGCCTCGACATAGCTCCAACTTTTTGATCTCTCTGACTCTCCGACTTTCGTCCCTTGTTGCTCAAGAGCTCTTCCATCCAACCCTAACTTCCTCCGCTTGTACCCCCGAACTTATTGCGGCTTCATCTCCCCCCGGCCCCGCCACCGTCTGTGACATCGTCCCCCTTCTCCCACCAAAAGCAAAAAAAAAACCGAACAAAGGACGCCAAACAAGTCACCGCTTGCTGTCAACTATCGATTGTCCCGCCGTCGCACACCTGACCTCATAGCAATCTTACCATTGGGCTGGGCCAAGCCCCCCCCCCCCCCCCCCCCCCCCTTTCGTCCTCCTTCGTCAATCAACATGGTCATTCTGCATCACCTCAACAACTTCGCGGCCATGGATCACATCCAAACGCCAAGCCCTCCTATTACTCCTCCTGCCCACGAGGAGTGCCTCTCCCCAGCTCTCCCCTCCCCCAATGAGTGCAACGACAAGATCATGGGTGAAGCTCAAAACCGCCAGCCTTCTCCCGACAGGGCGTCGCGCTCTTCCTTCTCCTCTATCCGCGAGAACGAAAATACGCTTACCCAGACCTTCACTCACTCCAAGGTCTCCCAATTCGACGTCGACGAAGAGGTTGTTGACGATCGCACCCCCGAGGTCACTCCTGGCCCTTCGACTCTCGACAAGATCAACGCCTTCAACATGATCCAGACCCAGTTCCGCCCCCCAGTGACCCAGCCCAACAGCAGGCTTCGCGGCTATGTTGCCCCCGCCGACAGCTTCCAAGGATGGAAGGGAATCCAGGTTAAGGGCAAGCTTGCTAGCAGGAGCTTCGGAGACCTGACCATCTTGAATAACGTCTGGGGCAGTGCGCCAAAGGCTCCCCGAAATGTCACCATCAGGCCGGGTGAGGCTGCCATCGAGAGGCTTCCTGTCGAAATTTTGAGTACGCACCCGTCCCGACTCCATAATGCCCCTCCCCCGCTTGGCATCTGGGAACAACCCGTTCGCTAACCAACATGTGATCCGACAGGCGCCATCATCAGTCTCCTCGTCCTCGACATTCCCCCGAACGGCGTATCCCGGCGCAATATCGATCTCATGTCGCTGTTGCTGACATCCAAGACACTGCATTTTGCTACCTTGAGCACGCTGTACAGCCAGATTACGATCCCCCACTCGAGAATCTTCCACAAGTTCCTGACCCATATCGCCGAGCACCAAACGCTGGGCACAATCGTCCGACGACTCGACTTCTGCCACTTCAACCCTTCGCAGCTCTTCTCCACGGCCGCCGAGCGATCCCTGGCCCGCAACTTGACTTCCGAGACCTTGCTCCGATGCCTTGAGTTGACTCCCAACCTTCAGGAGTTCTTGGTCCAGGAGCACATCGACCAGGATTTGAGCGCGGATGTGTTGAGGAAGCTGTTTTTGGGTCTCGAGCGCATAGAGGCCTTGGACTTTTGCGGATGCACTTCGACATTCTTCAAGGATTCCTTCACGGCCATAGTGACGCCGGATTGGCCTGCGCAGTTGTCGGTTCGCCGCCTCTCGCTTCACAAGTGCTTGACACTGCCTTCGATTGTTTTTGAGACGATTCTTCCCCGGCTTACCCGGTTGACGCATCTTGATGTCGCCGGCACTCGCATCACTGATGCGGCCCTCATGTCGATCCCCTACACGGCCAGGATCACTCACCTGAATATCGCCAAATGCAAGTTGCTCTCCGCACGCGGCGTGATTGATTTTCTCGCCAACCACCCTGCGGCACAGGGTCTCGTATACCTGAGCTTGGCTACCGATGCCAGAAGCCACCAGCTCTTTGATGTCGAAGATATTTCGGAGCTGCTTCCCGTCCTTCCCAAGACGCTCAAGTCGCTCAGCTTGAAGGGAAGCAGGATGGATCCTTCGCACATTGATTTGCTCCGACCATTGACCAAGCACCTTGAGGAGTTGTCTATTGGCCGATCCCTCCTACTGGAGGATGTTAACCGTCTTTTTGTGCCGGATGAGACGGACGATGTTGATAAGCAGCTCGAATGGGTTCCGCACACGCTCAAGTTCCTCGATCTCTCAGACTTCTGGGGTAACGAGTTGGACCTGGTTTATCTGTTCAACAGCCGCTGTGCGATCATGAAGCCTTTCTCGGCTCCCCTTGAAGTGGTTGAGTTGGCCGAAGATGTTTTCCGTCGTGTGGTGAAGTCGTCTGCCACCTTGCAGCGCATGGGCTGGCGCACCTCAGAGGTCGGAAGCCGCGGATGGATGGTGCGACAGAAGTCTCAGGACCCCTCTGTGCCACGCGACGACGGCAGCCGCGGTTGGAAGATGGGCGCCGAGGCCTGGGGAATGAGAAAGATCCCCGTCGCGAGAGCTGAGGTCGGCGGCATGTACGGGAGCTTCATGTTTGGGCGCAAGCTTTAAGAGGCTCTTTTCGCATCCGCGATCAATCTGGCTCTCGTCAGAACCTTTTTTTCCGACTCCCTACTCACCTTTTCATTCTTCTTATCCCCTATGTTGGCATGGCATGGCATGGTATGACCGGCATGGCAAGCGAGCGATTTGGGTTTTTTTATCCCTCGGTTTTGCGTTCAACCACGGAGTTTTTGGGGTTTCTGATATCATTTTTCGCATGCCGAGAGCAAAGTCGTCGAGAGTTCCAATGTCCATTTTCTGCCAACGGATGTTTCGGTATTTGAGAGGGGTTTTCGCATCATGGACATTGCATGGAGTTTTTGGATGGATAGGCTTTTTCTGGTTTCTGATCAAAAAAGGGTTATCAAAAATTGTGCTTTGCATCGATGGACATCAATATACCAATAGCAGGAGTTTCCAAGGGGAAGGAATTGACTGTTTGGTATCAAGAGAGATAGGAGGAGGCAAATCAAACAGTTTTCTGATAACTGCTTTTTCGAAGTTGTGTGTATGTCGTGTATGTATACCGTTTTATTTCATTCAGATCGGATTTATCCCCCACACTGAACTGGCCAATAACTTCGGCAGAGGGACCTTCATGTCGCAGTCTCAACTGGACAAGCGGGCCTCATCAGGCTAAGGGATTGGCTATGACACGGGGAGATAAATCCGGTTTGAATGAAAATTAGCGGTAGCCTCAAGTGGAAGAAGGGATGGGGAGGGAGACTTGTGATACATTTATAAGCATCTTGGCTACCTAGGATTTGTAGTCGGCTTTAACAAGTTAATATACTTGACTACTTAGAACCGCCCAATTGAGCTATACTGCCACATGTGCCAAATGATATCCGAGATACAGATAAGATATCGGACTTGACTCTATATCGTTTTCTGGGGTGAGTGAGTAATTTGTATGTGTGATGGATGGCCACTGGGTGTGACCATTCCCGACTTTGGTACGACCCCGCGTGGGGGTTCGGTAGATCATCGCTAAGGTGGTCCTCTGAAAGCCCCTCCTCCGAATGACTGTTCCGTCAAGTAACGAGGCATTGAACGTATCGAATGGAGTTTGAAGTCTTCCTAACTGGTCCCTTGATGCATTCTGCCAGATGTTGAAAACCTACAAGTGACGTCACTGAGGCTGTTGATAGAGATGCAAGAGATGGTACCTGCTTTTCTTAAGGGTTGGGGTCCGTGTTCTTGGGCTGATCTTACTGCGGGTGAGCTTTTGGGGTTTGGGGATTCCAACCTTTATACCGTATCCAGGCTACAATAGCCCCCCGAATGTTTGTGGTATCTCGGTAAAAAGAAGCATTATAAATACCCAGAGATAAAGTCTCGACGAAGCATTGTTCGGACGTCAGCCGTCACTGCAATGAGAGGAAGTGAGAAGAGTACTGGATCCAGGGTTAGGGTAAGGTGAGCGCTTCTTGAAGTCACCAGCTGACGCTGTGATATCTGCCACTTCCAGCAGCTGGCAATGATGGCCGAAGCGTGCGTCAGCGAAGTGTGACTGGCTGGCGGCGGCAAGGATGCGGCGAGCATCCCAACAACTTGAGTGGCCACTGCCTGGCGCGGCGACGAACGCATGGTCCACCTGTGACCTCCCAGCGAACCACTGCAGTGCAGCAGCGCTCCAGGTTGACCCGAGACGCCTTGGAGACTCCGACGTCGTAGCAAGTTGAACCTGGAACTGAAAACCAAACCACCAACAAAACCTACCTACGAACAACGACTCGGAGTTGCACACCTAGCATTCCGCTTCAATCGGGTCATCCAAGATGGCGCCGAAACAGGACACGCCGTTCCGCTCGGCGGACATGAGCTTGGTCCAGCTCTACATTTCCAACGAAATCGGCCGCGAAGTCTGCAACGCCCTGGGCGAGCTGGGGCTTGTCCAGTTCAGAGACGTAATGCCATCCCATCCCGAGTCCTCCCCTGCCCTGTCCTGTCACCACATCACGAGAACCCACCAGCACCAACACCAACGTCAACAACGTCAACAACACCGCCAAACACCAACACCGGTTGCTAACAGTGTCTGTCAATACAGCTCAACTCCGAACTCAGTGCCTTCCAAAGAGCATTCACCCAAGATATTAGACGCCTCGACAATGTCGAACGCCAACTGCGTATGTCCTCTTTCTCGAAGACCAACCACATGGCATCATCGCTAACTCGTTGTGTGCCAAGGCTACTTTCACACCCAGATGGAGAAGGCTGGAATCCCTCTTCGCAAACTCGACCTCGACGTAGACACCCTCGCCCCGCCCACCACCACCGAGATCGACGAACTTGCCGAACATGCCCAGAGCCTGGAGCAGCGCGTCTCTTCTCTTAACGAGAGCTACGAAACATTGAAGAAGCGCGAGGTCGAGCTGACCGAATCGAGATGGGTCCTGCGCGAGGCTGGCGGCTTCTTCGACCGCGCCCACGGCAACGTCGAGGAGATTAGAGCATCCACCGACAACGACGACGCCCCTCTGCTGCAGGATGTCGAGCAGCACAACACCGCCGCCGATGTCGAGCGCTCCTTCTCCGGCATGAACATCGGTTTCGTCGCCGGTGTTATCGGCAGAGACCGCGTCGCTGCCTTTGAGCGCATCCTTTGGCGTACCCTCCGTGGTAACCTTTACATGAACCAGGCCGAGATCCCCGAGCCTTTGGTCGATCCCACCACCAACGAGCCTGTTCTCAAGAACGTCTTCGTTATCTTTGCCCACGGCAAGGAGATCCTCGCCAAGATCCGCCGCATTTCCGAGTCCATGGGCGCCGAGGTGTACAATGTCGATGAGAACAGCGATCTGCGCCGGGACCAAGTTCACGAGGTCAACGCCAGACTTAACGATGTCCAAAACGTCCTTCGCAACACTCAACAGACGCTCGAGGCTGAGCTCTCTCAGATCTCTCAGTCGCTTTCGGCCTGGATGATTCTCGTTAGCAAGGAGAAGGCTGTCTATAACACTCTCAACCTCTTCTCGTACGACCGGGCTCGCCGGACGTTGATTGCTGAGGGTTGGTGTCCTACCAACGACCTGCCACTCATCAGGTCTACTCTGCAGGATGTCAACAATAGGGCTGGTCTTTCGGTTCCGTCCATTATCAACGAGATCCGGACCAACAAGACCCCTCCTACGTACCTCAAGACCAACAAGTTCACCGAGGCTTTCCAAACAATCGTCAACGCCTACGGTACTGCTACCTACCAAGAAGTCAACCCTGCCATCCCGGTTATTGTTACTTTCCCCTTCCTGTTTGCCGTCATGTTCGGTGACTTTGGTCATGCCGTCATCATGCTTTGCGCCGCCCTCGCCATGATCTACTGGGAGAAGCCCCTGAAGAAGGTCACGTTCGAGCTCTTCGCCATGGTGTACTATGGTCGTTACATCGCTCTGGTCATGGCTATCTTCTCTGTTTACACCGGTCTCATCTACAACGATGTGTTCTCCAAGTCCATGACGCTCTTCGACAGTCAGTGGAAATGGGTTGTCCCCGATAACTACAAGAATGGTGACACGGTCCACGCTGAGCTCCGCGAACCCAACGGTTACCGCTACCCCTTTGGTCTCGACTGGCGCTGGCACGGTACTGAGAACGATTTGCTCTTCAGCAACAGTTACAAGATGAAGATGTCTATCATCTTGGGTTGGGCCCACATGACCTACTCGCTGTGCTTCTCGTACATCAACGCCCGTCACTTCAAGAAGCCGATCGATATCTGGGGTAACTTCGTCCCTGGCATGATCTTCTTCCAGTCCATCTTCGGTTACCTCGTTCTCTGCATTATCTATAAGTGGTCGGTCGATTGGTTCGGCACTGGCAAGCAGCCTCCTGGACTCTTGAACATGTTGATCTACATGTTCTTGCAGCCTGGCACCCTTGATGGTGGTATCGCTCTCTACCCTGGTCAAGCCACAGTTCAGGTTATTCTCCTGTTGCTGGCTGTCATCCAGGTTCCCATCCTCCTCTTCCTCAAGCCGTTCTATCTCCGTTGGGAAAACAATCGGGCGCGCGCCAAGGGCTATCGCGGTATTGGCGAGCGATCTCGTGTTAGTGCTCTGGATGATGATGACGATAACGGTCACACCAACGGCGTTCACGGTGACGAGGGTGATGATTATGAGGGTGCGGCCATGCTTACCCATGATGACCATGGTGATGGTGAGCATGAGGAGTTTGAGTTTGGTGAGGTGATGATCCACCAGGTCATTCATACTATCGGTGAGTTCCCGTCTTCTGGTGTTGGTTGATAATAGCGTGCTAACAAAAAAACAGAGTTCTGCCTCAACTGCGTCTCCCATACTGCTTCCTACCTCCGTCTTTGGGCCCTTTCTCTTGCGCATCAGCAGCTTTCTGCCGTGCTCTGGTCCATGACCATGGCCAAGGCGCTGGAAACCACGGGTATTGGCGGTGCTATCTTCCTTGTGGTTGCGTTTGCCATGTTCTTTGTCCTCAGTGTTATCATTTTGATCATCATGGAGGGTGTGTCTGCTATGGTAAGTCTCTTCTTTTCTTCATACATCATTGGTGGGGAGCATATGCTAATGGTTTTGCGCGAATAATAGCTTCACTCGTTGCGTCTCGCGTGGGTCGAGTCCTTCTCCAAGTTCGCCGAGTTTGGCGGATGGCCGTTTGCGCCGTTCTCGTTTAAGCAACAGCTTGAAGAGTCGGAGGAGCTGAGAGAGTACATGGGTTGATTGTTTTTTGTTTTTTTTTGCCTTTTTTTGTCTTTTAGGTTGTTTTGGTCCGTTCCGTTCCCTTTTTTTGGTCACAAATTTCATTAGAAGTGGTGAGCAATGAGCAAGAGCAAGAGCATTGGGTGTGTATCGGTGTTGGTAGTGGTAGTTGTAGTAGATGCATAGAGGAATGATATGGTATTGTTTTCCCTATTTTGATTCTCTGAGTTGTGTCACTGTGTTTCATCAATACTAGGTTGCAACGATGCGGTGATGTATGTTTTTCAGCTTGTTTTGTCTCGTCACTGTTCGTACTAATGCTAAGTTAATAAGGCCTTGAGATGCTTGTGGTCGTAGTTGATTACGACAGGGACGAGTCCGGCGACCACTACTTGGGGGGTGGGCAAGCGGGAACTTGTGTCATCCCCATTCATGTTCCCCTTCCTATCAAGTAGAAGGTTGAGGAAAGACCCCAACACTGAACCGCACCACAACCCAGAAGTATGTACGACGATAACGAAGAAGGCACAGGCGAAGACCAGGACTGTTGTTATCCCGAGGTCCAGAGCTGTGTTTGAGGCTCTCCCTCCAACCCCAAAAGGCTAGCCTCCCAGAGTTACATCGGATGACACACCAGCTACACAGTAGAGGAGGGGGAAGCGTCTTGGCATCGAGCGGCATCGGTCCTTCCCTTTCAGGTTACACCAGTCTGATTCTACAATTGATCCGGCCGATATCGATTCCACGACTTCACTTCACTCACTTGTCCTTCGGCTGCCGTACTGAACACATTGTTTTTCAGTTCACCTTCACTCATTCACTCACCGAAGTCGTTCTTTACCCTTTTCCCTGTTTTCCTATGCCCACAAACGGGTACCTACATTTCTCTCCTCCTCTCAACTGCCCTGTCATCATCCCTCCTTCCTCTCCCACCTTCTAGAACACTTCTCTTCATTCCCCACCATCTGTCCCATCCTTTCCGCACCAGGTCAAATTCACCAAAAGAAAATGAGACCAGCAACCAACCTCCGCCTCTTCAAGACGCCACTCAACCTCGTCATCCGCACCAGCAAGCGCAACACCAGTAGCAATGCTTCAAGCTCAGCAGCCACGACGACGACGACACAGGGAGCTCCTCTCGTAATCCGAAAATTTGCCCCTCGCAAATCTTGCAACAGCAACAGCAACAGCAACAGCAACAGCAACAGCAACAGCAACAGCAACAGCAACAGCAACACCAATAACAACCCCTCAAGCTCAAACTCATCAAGCTCAGCAGCCACACAGCAGCAGACGACAACAACAACAACAGCAACAACAACAAAGGAAGCCCCCCTCCCCATCCGAAAAGTTTCTCCCAGCAAAGCCCGTCCCTTACAATGGCTTCTAAGCGGTGACCAAGAGCAGATCCGCCAAGAAATAGAAAACCGCAGGATTCAGGCCGAGGAGACGCAGCAGCAGCAGCAGGAACTGGAAAAGCGGCGGATGGACGCTGAGGAGAAACACGAGGGGCTTTTGCGGAAGAAACAGGAGCTGGAGCAGAAACTAAAGCTAGTGAAAGCCAGGACAGGGCTGGAGGAAGAGGGCCAAGGAAGGACGCCGGAAGTGAAAGATCTCCTGGAAAGGGAAAAGCGGCAGCGGATTCTGGAGCTGGCGATCACGAGGGTCAAGAGGAAGTTGGTGAATCTAGAAGTAGAAATGGGAGCGAGAGAGGAGGGGGAGAGAGTGGGTGTTAGGCTGCGACGGGAGGAAAGGCGGGAACGGCAGGAACGGAGAAGGGAGAGGGTGGTGGTTGTGTGGAAGGTTAAGGGGGAGCGGAGAGTTGAGGAGAGGCTGGGTGAGGGGTTGAGGAAGCGGGATGGGGAGGGGGAGGGGGTTGGAAGAGGTGGGACTGAAACAAGAACAAAGGGGGTGAGAGTGAGGGTTGTTGGTACTGGTGCTGGTGCAGATATGGATATGGAAGGACTATGGGGGGAGGATGTTTGGGGTGACGATTTTTGGGATGAGGAGGTGTCACAACATCAACAGCAACGGCAACAAGCGAAACAGCAGCAACAAGAACCTAATGTGGCGATTCTACCCCTGACGCATTACCTCTTGAGAGATCCAGATCCCACAGATCCCACATATCCAGCTCCAGATCTTGATCCTTTCGAAAGATTGGAGATGGCAGCACGGATAGAAAGGGAACGGAAAGCGGAGAGCATCAACGGTGATGATGGATGGGATGACTGGGGAGAGGGACAGGGACAAGGACAGACTCAACAGGCTCACGAGACTCAGCAGACCGAGGAGGGTCTACCCCAAATACATCCCCTCCCAACACATCCAGATCCGGATCCGTTCGAAGTGTTGGAGATGGCGGCACCGGTAGGACGGGAACGGAAAGCGGAGATCATCAGTGGTGATGACGAGAGATGGAGTGTCCTGAGACTGGGACAGGGACAGGAACAGCAAGCTTGGGAGACTCAGTGGGCTGAGCAGACTCGGGAAGCTCAGGAAACTCAGCAGACTCAACAGGTTCTACAGGTTCAGGAACAGCAAGCTGAGCAGGGTCAACAAGAACAGCAATCTCAGCAGATTCAGGAAGCTCAGCAGGTTCAACAGGCCCAACATGTTCTACAGGCTGAGGAGGCTCAGCAGCATAAGGAGGCCCAGCAGGCTCTGGAGAATCGGGAGGGCCAGCAGACCCAGGAAAGTAAAGGGCTAGAAATTGATGACAGGAAACCGAATTCCAACAAAGCTGGAGCAGTACCAGTGGGAAGAGTCGAAAGGAAGGGTCGGTTGCGCAGTCGAATGAGTGATCTCAAGATTGGATCGGGTCCAAGTGAGGATGAAGTTAAGGTGGGAAATGATCTTGCAGAAAATAAGACGGCGGCGAAAGAGGCTCCTCAGATAGAGACCTCATCATTAGCATCAGAGTCGACACCGCAACAAGCAATGACAGCTACCGAAGAGCCTCAAGAAGCCCCACCAAAGATAATAACAACAAGAACACCAACAACACCAACAAAACAATCACAACCGCAACCAAAACCACAACTACCCTCAAAAGAGCCACCACCCCTCACCACCCACCGCCTCACCCTCGTCCCCCGCCCCGACACCGACCTCTTCTCCCCCGCTCCTCCTCCCGGCACCCTCCTCATCCTCGCCTGCAGCGCCAAAGCCGACTGGCGCGAAGGAGTATCCAACTTTTTGTACACTCATTATCCCAAAGCCCACTACATGCTCAAGGCGCATTGCAAGTCCATCTCCACCATTACTACATCATCTTCCTCTCAAGACCAAGATCAAGACCAAAATTCCCAGTCCATCGACCCCGTCCAAGCCCACAAAGATGCTCTAGACAAGCACCAGCGAAACCTAGTAGGCACGGCATTACTCATCAAGCCGACTCCTGCTGCTTTTGCTGCTGCCACTACCACTACCACTACCAATACCGACAAAAAACAAAATGAAAACAACAAGGACCTCCCCTACTTCATAGGCTGCCTCTTCCTCACCAAAGAATCCTCAAAAGCCTACCGCGACCCACCAGTAGCGATCCTCAAGGCGACGCGGACGGCAATGGCGGATCTGATGAGGCAGGTGGCCGAGCATAAGCAGACAGTGGCGCAGTGGAAGAGGATGAATGGCGGATGGGCGAGGAAGGTGAAGGGGAAGACGACGGTTGTTGGGCCGGAGATGAGGATGGCGAGGCGGGATGTGAGTACTAAGTTTGGGATTAAGTGGGAGATGATGAGGGAGGTTTTGGAGGGGTTGGAGGTTGTGGGTTTTTGAGGGGGTATCTGGGAAGAAAGGAGATGGGGCGGAAGGGGGAAAAGGGGGGGAGAAGTTCCCGGTGGGGGTTTTTTGATGAGTTTGTTGAGGGGTCAGGGGGATATGGAAAGGGGGAAGGGGNTTTGATGAGTTTGTTGAGGGGCAGGGGATATGGAAGGGGAAGGGGGAGGGGATGGGAAAGGGAGAGGGAAAAGAAACGGGAAACCAACAGTATGATGAAGAGGAACTGGGCACGACCTGGATCTGAATGAAACAAAGAAGTGAGGTGAACGAAGGAAGGGCTGACGGGAAGAGAGGGATGTTGTTGATGATACCAATACCATAGAAAGGAAGCATTTGTGTTGTCTAGAGATATTAATAGAATTCCAGAACCTATACGCAACCAGTCATGGCAATAACCGCCATGTTTGACCAACCTGATTAACCATACCATATCCATATTCCTGAACGCCTTGCTATGCATATTCTCTCGAAATGAAATAATGCCATGCTGCCCTCAGCCTTCTGTTTCTTTCTTCTCATGCCATCCATCCACCGGACCGGACCGGACCGGACCACCTAACTCTCCACCAAAAAATCCGGATCTGACCAACCAACACCAAAAACGAATTAATATCAACGACGTTTCCACCCAAGGAGATCCTACCTCCTCTTCGACGCCGTGCCAATATCCGCCTCAGCATCCAAATCATCATCCAACTCATCCAGCTCCTCGTCCTCCAACATGTCACTCTGCTGCTGTCTCTTCCTCTTTGTTCCGGAACCCGAAACACTTGACCCGGGGCCCTTAGCCTTATCCCCCCCTTCCTTTCCACCCTTCTCCCCCTTCTCCCCCTTATCTTTATCACCCCCCTTCTCTTTGTCCCCTTTGTCCCCCTTCTTCTCCTTCTCTTTCTCCTCCTTATCCGCATCCTTCATCAGCTGATCCTCAATATTAAAGTTCTTGCGGGCAGCCTCAATCTCCTTCTTCTTCTCGAAAACTTCCTGGATCTTGCCCATGAACCGTGGGTTGCGTCGCATGGCGAACTCGAAATCTTCAAACTTGACTTTTTGTCGACCGGCGTGGTGCGCGGCCCGCGTCGCTTCGAACCCCACGCCTTGGATAAAATCGGTTATCAGCTCGTCCAGCACGCGCACCGTTTCCGGGAGCGGGGTTTTGAGGTCGCCGTGGCCGTAGAGGAGTTGGGCTACTATTGTGGAGGGAAACAGGCGAGGTTAGTATGTGGGGATGAAATGGGGAAGGAAGGGGGTAATAGGGGAAAGAGGGAAGAGGGGAAGACGTACGCTCGTTGTGGTTAAAGTTCATTTTGCCGACATTTTTGCCGGCGCGGGCGCGGGGTTCCATGATGGGCGGGTGGTGGTGGGCTTGAGGCCCGGCGTGAGGGTGGTGATGTGGTGATTAGAGAGGTTGAGGTGGATGGATGGAGGTGATAGAAGGTCGCGGTCGCAGTCGAGCGAGTACGATTCGATGCGATTCGTAGAGGTGATTCGGTTTCGAGAGGATCAGGATGCTGAGTTGGTTGAGCGAGCGCGCAGAGGTCCAGTCAAATAGACCAAAGCCGTTCGAAGTGACGATTGATGCGTTCTCAAGCTTCAAGCTGCGCGGGGTCGAGAACTCGATCAGCCTTGTCGCGTTGAGTGGTGGAGCGCAAATAGTTCGGCGACTGGGAGAATGCGACGCGCGGTTGGGAGGTTGACTGTGGTAGACTGAAGTATTTAGGTTCAGTCGACGTGTAAGAACATTCAGCTCGGCCTCATATGTCCCGAGTTTGGCGTCTTGTTGGAGGACTGGTTCAAAGTGGAAAACGATGACGATGGATGATGAGGCTCTGAAATGCCAAACTAAGAAAGGCCCCCAAGGCCCCCAACGGGCGCCTGGAACCCCTGCCTTGTGTAACAGTGGCTCCACAAGGCGGTATGGTGTCCAACGACCAATCATGTTGCAGTCGCGTCCAAAGAGCGAGGAGCTGAAGCTGTGCGCGCCCGGGGCGTGAGGTGCTGGACGACATCCCCTAGCAGCGCTGAAAGTTCCTCGTGGAAATCCCCGTTCGGCAGCCTCGCCCAAGGAGCTATGACACCCTGGCCTTCCTTCACAAGCAATCAACGGACACCACAACTGGCTGCTGACTACACCTACGTAACCACCAACTTCACGACGGCATTTCTACACGCGATTCTCACGAGCGACGATACAAACACTCTTTACACATCTAGAATTTCGAGAACCTCTGTTCGCCGACGACCGTACCATAGCCTGTCCGATAATCCAAAGCGCCCATCATGGTATGTCACCCGCAACGTCATCAGCCAAACCCTCCTAGCGCATCACCTCCCATCACATCCCATTCCGTCGCACCATCGCTAACCACCTCTGCCCACATAGACCGCGCTCTTCAACTTCCAATCTCTGCTCCTAGTCATCATCCTCCTCGTCTGCACCTCGACATACGTACATCAGATCTTCCCCGCGATCCTCGACCGGAACAAGGATGGGTGAGTTATCCTGCCCCTTTTTGCGGTGACTCTTCGTTCTGTGCCCTTGACGGCCTCATGCTCGGGGAAACTGGACATGGCTTGCCTAAGAGGAGAAGAAGTGAGGATAAAAGAAAAAGGGTTTGCTGACATTGCAACAACAGCATAATGGGCATCTTCTGGAAGTGCGCGAGGATAGGCGAGCGGTTAAGTCCGTATGTTAGCATATGTTGTGTTCTCATGGCGGTACAGTTCCCTTTCCCTTTCCCACATCTCGTCGCCCCCTTTTTTCTAGATCCTTTTTTTCTAGATCCTTTTTTTTCTAGAAAAAAGCTAATACAGTGCACTTGAATAGGGTTCCATGCTCGTTGGCAACTAAACCCAGCTTGGTTCCGTCTTTTGCCGATACGAAATACAACGTTTATATATAATGCTTAGCGCCGCACGTCCAGATCATGATGCTGTCTGCGCCTTTCTTTAATCGAACAATTGGAGTTTGCAGGAGGATATGTTTATACTTGGGGTTTCGAATTAAAAGGAGATCACCGAAGAGAAGAAGGGTTCCAGAGGAAGTGACAGCCACAGCCCCGACGACAGGAGGATCGATTTCTTGCGGAAGGCAGGCAGGACAACAGGGGTGGCGGACTTTGATTTGAAGGGATCGTCAACGACGAAGCAGCCGGGCGACAATGAAGATACGACGGGCAAAACAGAAGACGAAGATCGGATATGCTCGAGGATACCGGTACTTTACGATCGACTATCGAAGCCCGCAACTCACCACATCCGGCCCATCACCCTCGGCAAGTCGTGATCGACAGCGTCCTGGTGGGACTTTGGAGCAGTGGACACCATATCGAGGATGCTGGACACCGTTATCTCGCCGACTTGGGAGCCGAAGTTTGAGCTGTTATTTTGCCGACTGTACTTGGCGATGGGCCGAGACTCTACGGGAAATCAGGGGAGGGGATGGGGCCATCGTGGCTTAGATATGGTTAGTTGGATCTTATGGTGATCAGTTTGGTTCCATGTGGCCGATATTGAAAACGATTCCAGGCTCATCAGGCGGGCTTGGCTCTTTCATGGAGGTTACTTGGATGAACTCGGACACAAGTGGTCTTGAGGAAGTTCAGCTTGGTCTACGAAGGCTCCAGGGTTGACCAAATTCACGACAAGACAAACTACGGCCAGGCTGACAAGGACGTGAACGCTTCATCGGATCGGGTGCCATGTCCAGCACTATTACACACCATATCCCTTTTTGCCGCAGATTCAAATGACAGAATGGTATCTAGTAAGGACTCTTAATGCCCAGCTCAGAGGACTGAGGTGCTCGCAAATTTATGTGGCTGTCTACCATGCTCATGTCCCCATCCTCGCTACGTCCTATCTGTTTGTTCTCCTGCTTTACCATCGTTTGCTTTATTTCTATTCTTGCTACTGCTATCACCCCTCTCGTAGCTAGGTTGTGGATGGTCTGATCTAGGTTGCTACTATGTTCCATTGCTCTAAGATACATTTCTCTACAGCTCTCTCCCCTTCAAAACCTCAACATGATCCAATATCTTGGATTTGCTGCCCACTGTTATGCTGGACCGAATACAATACTTCGATGAACTCCTCTAGGTAGCCGATTCACTTCTCGCTTTCCAAGTTTCAATTGCCAAATCTCTAGACACTCCTATCCAGCAGCAATCCCTCGTCTGCTTCTCTCTCTGCCACTCTCTCTCCAATAAGTAGGTAATACCAATACCAAACCCAAATCCAGGCGGCGCGCACCGAAATGGAAGCTAGAAGTGCGAAAGTGAGATTGATGAAAAGAACGAAAAGCGATTGACCGCTCTGCTAAGTGTATATTCGGCACCTTTTGCACCGGTGGCGGTGGTTGGGCAGAGAAGAGAAGACAAGAGAAGAGGTGTATGGCTGTGTGCGACTGTGCAACTGTGCGAGTGTGCGACTATGTGTGTGTGGTGACTCAACTACGGTACCTACAACTTTATATGTATCACCCGTTTCTCTTTATTTATTAGACTAACTACGAGTTTCTGGAGTCTTGGAGAATGGAAGGATGGATGGTGATCTGGAGATGTTGATGTTGACTTTGTGCTTGTGCTTGTGCTGTGGCAGAATACTATACTTGTAGGTCCGTAGCGTAGGTAAGTAGGTAGGTAGGTAGGTAGGTAGGTAGGTAGGTAGGTAGGTGCAGGTGTTATTTAGTGATGATTTTGAGGAATTACGTAAAGGTATATATGCTACTAGTGCAGTTCTTGTTAGGTAGGTAGGTAGATATATCTATTTGTTATGATACATCTAGAAACTGTTATGTTTGTACTGACTGACTGTTGTGTATGCTGTGTGTTAGTAACTGAATAACTAGAGCGAGGATTAAACTAAACTGGGATCATGGTCGATTCCTGTTGTATGGCATGTAAGGTAGCCATGTGTTCTGGTAAAGAATTCTCTCGACTCAGACTGAGATGATGCGACGTGGAAACCTTTCAGTTCTGCGTTTAATCCAACCGCTAGTACGGAGTCGGCACGTATTCATTCATGGATGACACTCGACCATGGAAGAAAGATTATCACGAACGCAGGACACCGAACAAGCGTTTGGAGTGGTGTAGTAGCAGCAGTGGAGTAGTAGTTAAAGAGGTTAAGGTAGGTAGCTCTAGTACCTCTAGCAGCTCTAGTAGCCTTGGTAGAGTATAGTAGATATGCATATGCGTGTAGCTCGGTAAAGTAAAAAGCGAACGAGGTGACCCGGTTTTGATAGTGCAGCGCAGTAGTTTAGGAAGATATAAATGAAAATAACTAAAAAAGAGTAACGGGGGTATTCCGAGTAGTAGTAGTAGTAAAAAAAAACTTCTTATGTTTGACTCTCAACTCTCTCTCTCTGCCAGGTGATGGGCAACACTTTGCGTGCGCAAAACAAACGCAACCCATTTCTTTCTTTCTCAACTGTAACACCAAACGCGCGCAAAAACCCAGGCACCCAAGCAGCAAGCAAGCAAACCAAGCTAAACCGGTGCAAGCAACGAGCAACAGGCAAAACAGCAAAAAGCCAAACCAAGCCGACCAGACCAAACCAGACCAGACCCCAAAACCAGGCACAAACCAAACCCCATCCGTAGTAATGTAGATAAAAAGGAAAACCGTGAGGACAGCAAGTAGTAATAGTGTAGTAGGAGTAAAGGAAAATGGAGTGAGGGAGACGAGTAACACAGACGGTATAGAAACCATCATCACCCTGTTTTCCCCCATCCAACAATGCAAAACGATGACGAGGATTAAAAGAGCATTAACAACAAAACGAAAAGGCTTGAAAGCTAGCAGCAGTCAGTCCTGCAACTGCCACTGCCGACAAAATTCGTTTCTCCAAGAAAGGCAATGAACGCTTCTCTTTCTCTTCTCTCTCTCAGGGCTCCCTTCACAACACCGCTCATATCCTCCCAACATTGGCAGCAGCGGCGGCAGCGGCAAACTGCTCAGCGTACGCCGACCCCTGAGCCTGCATCTGAGCCATCAGCTCAGCGCTCTCTAACTCACTTTCGACATCTCCGACATACGCCAACTGTGCCCACACCCTCCAGTGGAGAATGCCAAAGTGGGCAACCCGCGTGGCCATGTCCTCAACACCGGCCTCCTCACGGGGGTCCCTGTTGCTCGATGAGTTGGACGTAGACGAGGTCGTTGTGGGCTCACTGCCACCAAGGCTCTGGATACCCATTACCTTGCTAGCTCCAGGAGTATTCCACGCCCTAGTACCGGGGGTCTGGATTTTTCCACCAGTTGCACGCGAGAAGAGGCCAACGCCAGAGAGATTCCTAAACTCCTTGACCTTGACCGCCACTTCGCCTAGCAACTTTTGCTGGAACTCCGCTTCGACCTCCCGGAAGACCTCGCAAGTGGGGTCGCCTAGTACACGGACAAGGTTGGCCTCGAGCTCAGCCAGCGACGCCTGAGGGTGGTTGACGAAGCGCAGGATCTGAAGGGCCATCGCGCCGGCGAGGTTCTTCCACCTGTAGTCGGGACGGCTGGCGGGAGGTGCGGTGTGAAGGAGAGCGAGAAGAGATGAGTAGAGATCCTGTGCCTTCCGGCGGGATTCGGCAGAATCCAAGGGGGCAGGCGTGCAAGAACCGGTAGTGGGTGTGAAGATCGAGCTGCGGGGAGAGGAAGCAGTTGAAGACAGAGAGTTGCGATCGCTAAAGGTTAGACTGGAAGGACGGGAGAAGTTGAACTCGGCGGACGAGCGGGTACTTAGTGTACGGCCGTTGTCCTCAGAGAGGTAAGCCGGTACACCGGAGAACTGCCTCGAGAGATTTTCGTAGTCCTCATACTTGCGCATGCAAATCTCAAGGCAGATGCTGTCGTACATATCTGACCTGAGCTTGAGGATGCGCTCCTCATCGAAGAGGAAGGTATTGGGTACGTTTGCAGTCGATGTGGAAGGCAGAACAAGGTGTGTGACGGCCTCGAAGAAAGTACCGGTCTCACCGAACGCTTGAGCATGAGGGCTGGGTGTGTTGGCGTACACGATGGAGGCGGCAGTCTCGGCGTTGCGGTACCACTGCTTGGCGGCAGCAATGCTGAGCTTCCTTGCTTGTATCTTCTTGATGAAGAAGCGCTGCTCAAAGTGAACTGTGTCCTCAATCAGGACTGGGCGGAGGCATCTGATCTGGTGGTTGGCAACATCCAACTTCATGGCTTCCAACACACTGAGCAGATTCCTCATGCCCTTGACCAGCTCGCCCATGTCGTTGTTCCTATTCCCGTTGCTGAGCTCATTGTACATCTCGTCCACCCACTCATCGCGCATCGGTGCACAGTGTAGCTTGAGAACACCGGATAACCAGGCCGCCAACTTCTCCAAATCCGCGACACCCCGGTGAAACTGCTGCATCAAGAGCTCCACGTTCAATCCATCGTTCAGCAGGTCGCGATCACGTTGAGGCACTAACGTCTCAATGATCTCCCGAGCGGCCTTGAGGAGTGCTGGCAGGCACCAGTTGTCGTCTGTCCCATATCTCGCGTAGAAGCCCTCGCGATCCATAACGAACTGTATTAGCTGCTCCATCAACATGTTCCAGAACTGATTTGCCTTCTCCTGCTTCCTCTTTCCCTTTTCGCCATCCAGGTTGGGTCGGAAATGTAGTTCAGGGTCGAAGTTGATATCATGGCGGAGCTTGGGATTGTGTATTATCTTGCTGACGTCGAGTTCGCTCAGTGTTGCGCGGGTAACTGGGGGTTCTAGGGGCTTGGGGGCGATTGGTACACTGGAGCTGCGAGAGAGCGGCGAGGGCCTGCGATCCCTGGCATGGGCGGTAAAGTATTCGCTCGTGCTTTGCCTGTTGGAACTGGTCGAGGAATTCCTGGATAGCCTGGGTGCTGTCTCTGTCGCCGGTGTTGAAGCCGTGCTCTCTCCTTCATCTGTGACCAGCTCCCTCGATACTCTTGAGAACTCTTGCATGATCTGGTCTTCCTGTTCGGACTGTTGGGGTGGGTTGCGCGTCTCGGGGACGGCCTCTGTCGGTAGGGGCTCCTCGGCCGTGGAGTCCTGTCGCCTGTGAGTCGAGAGGTGGCTCTCGAAGCCACCGCCTGCGCCTTGTTCGCCCATGTTGAAGTTGTCTATCCTGGATCTCTTGAGGGTAATACTGGAATCAAGCGGCGTGGGCAACGATGGGTGAAATTATAGTGGAAAGATTGGTGAGGAGGAAGAGTCCAAAGAAACCCGGGGAAATGGGTAGGGCGAATGGAGCAGTTATGAGTGCGACCAAGACCTTTGTTCGTGGCATGCATGTTAGCAATGTGTATCACCAAAAGGCTGCTGCATGCGAGGTGCAAACAAGGCAACGAAGGGATGGATGGGGAAAAGGACTGAGTGCGTGCGGAAAGGCGGAAAGGGGCATGGACTGCAGCCGTGGCGGCGGCCCTTGTGTCTTGTGATAGGGAAGCCAGTCTTTGGTGTACACTGCAGGGAGCGACTGGACCAAGGACGAAGGAATGAGAAGACCCTGGGCCTGTGTTGTGTGCTTGTGTAATATGAGGGCCATGTAGCAAAGCGAAGAGAACAAGCCGCTTACCGGCAGAAAGTCTTGTGGTTGCTGTTGTGGTGGTTTGGGTACTCGGCAGCAATCGGCGTCCTCGAAGACTTGAGTTGAGTTGTCCAGGAGGATGTGTGTGTGTCGTGTATACGGTGTGTGTATGGGTGATTGCAGTAGCAAGCAGGGATGGGTTGGGACACGAAAGCGCAACCAAGGTTAAACAAGGACCGAGAGGGAGGTACTGTCGGTGGTTGTGTTGGCCGAGGAGGGCAGCTTATAAGAGAAGCCGGTGACCTGGGGCCGTGGTCGGGACTTGCTTGGGCGAGAAGAGGCGGTGTCTTGCCACAGACTACACACCAGTGTTTGGTATTTCGAACGTAGGCTTGTGGTCGTTGAGGGCCGTGTGGTTGTGGCGCCGGGTGGGTTGATTAGTAGTAGTAAGTTGTTTAAGGGTGAATAATTATTAGGGTGAAGGTGGAATCTCTATGGGTTGTTGTTGGTGACGGCGTGGTGGAGGAGGTGGTTTGTTGGTTTCCTGTCTCGTATTATCCCCTACTTCTCACAGAGGTTGGGACGAGGGATGAGTTGGTTTTGGTTTGGTTTGACTTGTGTGTAGTAAAAGTCGAGAATGGAGAACGAGCAAACAGAAAAATTAAGCAGAGCAGTGCAGACGAGAGAGGAAATGGAAGTCGAGGAAATGGAAACAGCAGTAAAGAGTAAAAGTGGAAAGAAAGGGCGGGAGGATCTAAAGAAGGGGTGTGTGTACAAGGATGAGATGGATGGATCCAATGGAACCTCAATGTACCATGTTCGAGTAAGGTAACCTCTAATGTAATATTACGAGAGCTTACAAGGGATGGAAGAAGAGAGTGCTCCTGGCCCCTTCCCGCCTTCAGACCCGACACGATGTCGGCGGCGGGAACAGGAAGGAGTCCGTAACTTACCGTCATTGTGTGCAGGGGCCTTGGAAGGTACCGTCCACCTGGATGGAACCAGACCTGACATGGAACACGATACCGGGTCCCAAATGGCGACGTAGCGACCGATGCGGCAACGGAGTGGAGGAGGGGGGTGCGTGGGGCCGCCAGGGGTTGGCTGAGTTGATGTCTTGATGAACAAGGTTCAGAAGGGGGTTTGCAAAAGAGTGAAAGAGTGGAAAGATACAAAGGGCCATTGGATCCGCCTCTCTTTCGTTTCCGACCGTGACCGTGAGCGGCCATCCACTCTCCGTCCATCATATGCAACATCCAATATCCATTATCCATTGCTTTTCCATCCAGGGTTACTGAGGGAAGTCAACAAAAGGTGTGTGGTCGGGTCGTCCGCGTGTTTTGCGCCCTCAGTCATCTGCTGTCGTTGGTCTGCCATTCTCGGTCGTATAGCTCCCGTCCGGCTGCGACACCTGCGACTCTGCGACTAGGTCTGCCTTGGAGGTGTCATGACCATACCATGACCAGACACACATTGATTGACCCACGGGCCACGGGTACCAGCACCAGCACGCTTTCGCATCCAGCGCATCAGCGGTCGGGTTTCCACTCCCACGCACCCACTCTACAGTAGCGTACAGCCATCTCATCTCATCTGCGGTCGGGTGCACTGGCGAGTCTCGCACGTCTGGCAGATTAGCACTGCAATCACTGTGACTTTGCATGGACCTACAACCCTCCCTCAGCAAATGGAATGAATGGACGGTGCACTGACATATTAACAACCATGCCTGTTGTTAGTGTAAGCTTGTGTGTGTGTGTGGTGGCTGCTGGGGTGTGCTGGGGCTTGCGCTTGTAATGAAAGAAACATTACACAGTTGGAAGAAGTGTGCTTGGACCACACAAATGTTAATCGCACACCCCCACCCTCCACTCTTTCCCCCTTGCCTCAAGTCATTCAGGTACCTCTCTACTCTTTCCCGGGGCCTGGTAAAAAGGAACAACAACCCCTTATATCCCAGCGTCCATTCGGGCTCGTCCAGTGGGTGCTGAATGGGAGAGTGGACCGCTTTCGTTCCCGGCCGAGGAGTCCATTTTAGGCGAGACGACCAGACTCCGACTGTGAAATATTGTTAACGGGAGTTATAATGGCGGGTTGGTGCCTGGCCTACCCGTCCGTTAGTGCGCGCGCCGCCTTACCTCCTGCTTGCCTTACTTCCACCTTGCTTGCCTTGACATTGGATTAATCCGGGGCCGTCTCTTTGAGCGCGGAGGATGCGATGCACTTGAGCATTCTGCCTGTAAAAGAAAGCTGCGAAGCGGCCGGTTGTAATGTCGGGCAAGTGTCAGTTTGATGTCGGCCCTAGAGGTGAAGACGAGACGACGGGTCATGTAAAACGAGCACATCACTTCCATGCAGCGGCGGATGCACCACAACGTCTGACTTTAACACAACCATAATTACGACAACAAACGGCCACTGCAATAATGAAAGACCGCGCCCTGACAATGGGATGGAACAAACCCCAATATCAAGGGCAACCGCGGCATCAGGCATGCAAATTCGATCAGTTCTACCTTCAATGAATATTTCCTCTTCAACACCATACACCTTTGTCGTCGATGACGAGCCTACCTATAAAATCCCCCCTGGTCCTCCATACCCCAGCTCCCTACGACACTAGCCACCTGCCAGCACCGATATGCAGCAGACAGAACAACACCCAGCACACCCACAGCGACGCGATCCAACACCACTGCATTGGTTGCTGTTTTGCGGTGTACAAGCGTCGTCTGAATAGCGCCATCCCCACACACGACAACATTGGCGGCATCCATTGGAACTGGACTCTGGTCAGGCTTTGCCGCCACATCCCTCGCTTTTTAACCGATCGCTTCTGCTGCTCTGCGTTGTCTTTTGTCGCAGGTTTCTCCTTACCGCGAGCCACATCATCATCATCATCATCGTCGACAAGCCGGGGCCGAAGATGGCGATGGCGAGCCTGGAGAAAAGACGGGGCACGGGAGGTGTTGCGCTTCCTGGTGCCGTGCATACCGATAACGATGTGATGATGAACAACTGAACCCCGAACAACCTGGACACCTGGAGACAGCCCGGATGACCTGACAGGGAAGAGGCCGGTATTGTCCTAACTGCCCTGGCTGTGCGAGACGTCGCGCGCGACTGCGATAGAGTCATGAACAGCATCACAATTCAAACACCCCCCTCGCCCAGAGCCCCAACCCCAACTCCCAATGAGGCACCAACTGGGAACCAATGCTGTACCAACACAGCTTCCGCCCTGATAACAGGCCCGAGAACACCTGTGACGCCTCACAGCAAGCGGATCCAACTCCGAGAGGCTCGTTCGTTGGTTTCCCCCAAATTCCCCCAGTGTCCCCCCAACTTTCCCTCAAATCCCGTCACGTCTTGTCACAGGCACGCTTTGCCCAAACCGGGAACCCAGACATCCAGAACATCCCATCCGGTTTGCGCCTCACTTCTGGGACCATGGCTCGGCCCTCGGGGTTCAGGCGTACGGTCCAGGCACCTTCATCCCAAGTTGAATCCAATCCGTGCTTCACTTCGCATCTCAACGTTGCGACGCCTCACCAGCGTCCGAGGTCGAGGACTGGACCTTGAACCTCCGGTATCTTGTAGTGCCGATTCGGTATGGCTCTTGCCTTGGCACGTACACAAACAAATACATACGTATCAAACTTACCGTTCGTAAATTACGGAGGTCATAGTCACAGCACAATCAGGTACGCAGAGGTACGTTTCATACAATCGCCGCTCGCCTCGCTGCTCCAATGAATCGACCGGGAAGACGACCCGGGCCGGTCACGGTGCGGTGCGGTGCCGGCGGGGGAGGCGATCCGACCGCATCTCCAGCTCGAAGTGTCAATTAGTCAAGAGTCAAGGCTCAAAGACGATGCATCAGTGGGACAAGTTTTAGCTTCGAAGCCTTCGAAACCTTCGAAACCTTCCACGACTTCCAAATCTCGGGGAAGTTACCTTGTTGAGCGATTATACCGACCGACGCTGACCATAGCAGCTGAGCTGACGAACGAGGCGAAATCGTGAAATTCGTAAGAAAGTTCGGAACATCCCGCCCCCGTTCTCTTCAGCTCGTGTGGATCGTATCGTGGTCCTTAACATCATCATTACAGTATCAAGTTTTCGCCATCCATCTATGCATCCTACCATATCCGCATTTGCGTTCGACACTTCAACCGCTCACTGTTCATTGATATTGGAGGAAGGTAGGGAGCCTCATTTACCATTTGCCATCTGCCATCTGCAAAAGCTGCCTCTCTAGCCTCAAAGAAATCTACCAATACCATCCTCAAACCCCCAAAACCATCCAGTTGCAGGGCTGTCGACCCTTGCCTCTCAGGCCCCCTTGTGCAGCGTAAGGTTACAAGGCGTTACAAGCGTTGCAGCTCACTGCTGTAGCCAGTGAGCCAGTGAGGCCAGCCGGCATTGCAGTCTAGCGGTGAACGAAAAATCAACACCATGACCACCACCGTCATTTGTTGAGCCGCTAGCTACCCTGCACTTTATGAAGGGTCGTGAGAGGTAGAGTTCCATCGCCGCTACAAAGCCTGCAGGGCCTGCTGAGCCGCCAAGAGAGAAAATC